GATGGTATATCTATAATTTGGGAAAAATTGTCCAAAAAAATCCTAAACTTATTACACTTGTGCCAATTGAGTTCTAAACCTTTCGATTTTGCAAATTGAGTTTATCCGGCCAATTTTGGCCGGAATTCGCTAATATGGACGCTGGCCATCCTACGTGGCACGACCAGCATTAACATTGATCATTTTTAATAATATTTTAATTATTTTTATTTTTATTTTCTTTTTTTCTTTCCTTTCTTCTTCCTCCTTTTGCCGGTGATGCGATGGCCGGGCGGGCTGGTCTTGCCTTGGCAAGGGTTTCCATCACTCGCCATAAGCAAGACTTGGCCGAGCGAGGGTGAGCCTCAGTGAGGGCTCCCCTTACCAAATCTGGCTAGGCCGCCCTAGCCTATACGAGGGCTGGCCTCACCCGATCTGGTGAGGCAACCCTGGCTTGGGCGACACGATCCTCGCCTAGTCGAGGCCAATTTGCCGGGGCATGACCAATGGTCGGTCACCGACAAAAGAAAGAAGAAAAAATCATAAAAAAATAATTATTATTATTAAAAAAATTAAAATTTGTCAACGTTAGTGCCGGCTGTGCCACGTAAGACGATTGGCATCCACATTAACAAATTCCAACAAAAATTAGTCAGATAGACTCAATTGGCAAATTGATAAAATCGAAAGGTTTATGATTGAATTGTCAAAAGTGCAACGGGTTTAGAACTTTTTTGACAATTTTCCCCTGTAGTTTATATGCGTTTGTATGTGCTGTGGTCATCGACACCAATTCTTTGTTATTCTACGCGAAACCAATCATAAACAATCAGGGGTTTTGGCCATAATTCTGATTCTCTCCGCTGTTAATACACGGCAAAAGATACTAGCTGTGATCTAAGCTACATTTGTGCGCATCTGCGCCAATAGGAGTATCATGACATGGGGCCAGACAGATGAAGACAAAGTTAGAGAGCTATCAGAAGTGGATTCAATCTCTTATTGGGTAATTTATTCTTTGAGTTCCGGGAGAATCCAATGCGCCGAACTCCCTAAGCTTCCAGCTGGATCGAGTTTTCATCTGATTCCAAATGATTAATTAGGTCATTAATTAGAGTTGCATTAATTGGCTTTGCATACAATATTAGTGGAATGCCAAGAGACAGTAGTGTGCGTGTGTGTTCTGTACAATTTCGATTACATTAATGTGTCTTTTACTCTTTGTTACTTGTTCGGCAAACCACTCACCCATGCAATATCTCATGAGAAAACACATGTTATAAGACATCATAGTGCAGTTATGGCCTGGGAAATTGTCCAATCAATCCTAAATCCTAAACTTTCTATGATGACTGGACCACTAATTGGAATTTTACGCAAAAATTTAAGCTTAAAATGTCAAAATCGAAAATTTTAGGACCAAGTTGTAATTCGTAAAATAATTTTATGACTGATTGGGTAATTTCCCCACCTAACATATCAGTCGGGTAGCTTAACAATACTTCTTTTTTTTGGGAAATTATCGTACCTTTATTTTTGTGTTGAGGAACTGAATATTTTGTGAGGTAGATGAGTACCTGTCAGAGATATAGGAGATTCTGTAAGTATTGTTTTTATTTATTTCTTAAGATTATGCATGTGTCTCATTTGATTATGCATATTCTTAATAAATCTTGATTAATTGTAATTGACATTCTAATATCTTGAAAAACCTATAGATATGCTCGTGTATATTTCATTATGGAATACACATAAGTTGTACAATTTCATCTTCTGCATATCTTATCAGTACCCATTTTGTCAAATTTTAAATGCTTGCAGTGTTTGTTTAATTACTTTACTACAAGGTCAATATATTTAATCAAGAATTTTCCTAAGTTCTCTATTATTGAATAAAATACTCGTGTATGAGTAGGGCGGTCGAGAGAGCTCATTCATATATCTATTTTTGTAATTAAATAGGTAGATGTAGAAAACAGCAACGCATGTGCATTTCCTATGGCAAACATTTTCTCCTAAACGGAATTTGTCGTTTTCAAGACCAGAAACTCATGTGCGGGTGTTATTTCAAGAAAATGGAGTGCCATGTTACACCCGACTGTCCCTCTTTGGATACTCATCCAGTCTGAATATATACCATATTAAAAAAAAGTAATTCCAAATTAAACAGTGATTAAGCGTCAGAATACGTACGTGCTCTAAAGTACTCATTGCAGAAAGAAAGAAGAAGAAAATAGTACAAGTTTATGTAAAATACAAGTTTATGTGCACCACCTGCGCTGAATACGACTCACGATTGCCGGTGATTACTGTTCTTGCACGTATGGTCGACAGTTTTTACATCTTACATGTGATTCATATCACATCAGATAAATTTATTTTTAGAAAAGAACAGGTGCATGAACAAGAAACTAGTGCCCTCGACTCAAGAAACCGCCCATGCTTTGCTTACTGAGTTAAAGTCAGCTTGCTTGGAAACTGGACGTGGGGAGATCCAAAAAAGCCTTGGAGTGTGGTAAAAGAATGTCATTAAACAAATATGGGTGCATGTATGTAGGGCTGTTCCCCATGCACGGCTACCCTCTCTCTGACTACCCATCTTTCTCTCTCTAGATGTCCCTATAAAAAGCCGGAGGCATATGGTTGTTCGAAGCATACTATATTTGAGCGAGTTCTGAATACTTTCAGGTGAGGGAAGGAGGGAGAGAGAGAGGGAGAAAAGATGGTTTCTAGAGTGGAAGAGGCCATGAAGAGAAAGCAGCAGCAGCAACAGCAGCAGCACAAGGGCAGAGAGTGTAATCATCCGCAGCAAAACCACCAGCAACTGATGCAGTGCAACAAAGGGAAGGCCTCCAAGTTCAAGAGGAGCTCTTCCAATCTCGAAGAAGACGGGGCTTCCTCCGCCATTCTCTTGCTCGCTTGCATCGCCTGTACTCCTCCCTTTTAATTGACATGTATATAGAGTTGTTGTTGTTGTGGTTGTAAGTATACGTACGCGAAACACATTATGTTAGCTAGTGTGAGAGATGAAATAATTGTCCTCTACTTGGTAACTTTCGTTGCTTCATGTACCATGTACCTTCCATTAGCATTATTCCTTCCCTGATTAATTCTGCATAAGAGATGCCATCTTTCAATAGTGATTTTTTTATCTTTATGGTCACCTTCCTTCAGATCACTTCTCTTCATTGTACAAAACTAGATAGTTGATACTCTCTTCATCCAAGAGAAAGGTCAATACTCAGCAGTCCATCATTGCAGATGCAAAGCCGACATCTCACCACCAAAGTAAATGCATAAGTTACATGAAAAGATCACATGACATGATTTGATCAGGCAGGTTCTGGTTTGTGCATGAAGTATTCATCCAATATTTACTCTGTAAATTACTTCTGAGCAAAAAATCCAATATAAAACGATTTTTTGGCCATGACAGTGACACTGCCAAAATGCCAAGGAAGAAGAGCAGGCTCAGGCCGGACTTAGCATAGCAATTGACCCCACGTTGACCAGTGATGGCCCCCCTGTTGAGCTTCTTTTCACTTTTCATTTTTTTTCCCTAAAGGTTCAGTGTCCTCGTCCTGGCAGTGATCCTCTTAATTTATCTAATAAATAATCCCTTAAACCAAGTCTAATGATAAGTCTAAATCAGTTCGTAGTTTGTATCTAAATAGTTCATAATTTGTATCGAAATGCGAATCGACAAGTCCCATTCACAAACGAGACAGCCGAGTCGTGATAATTGCATTTGACATATGAAATGGCCCAGGAAAAAAAGGGGATAGATCCTAAAATATCATTATGAGAATGGAATATGCATTTTCCTCACTGACTTATCCATTAGTATTTCTGTACTTGTTCGGCTTTACTTCTGTAAATTGTCGCATTCCTTCAACTAAAAGTTCTTTTCTATGGTTTTTAGTGTGTTCCCGTGGTAACATCCAAGGAACAAGAGATTAAGTGCAAGGTCTGGTTTTTGTACTTTCGCAATCTCAGGGAGTTTCAAACGCAACTCTAACATAAAAATGGAATGATCATTGGATCATCGATATAGACTCCAAAGGAAGTCCAAGAAAATCACAACAAAAGAGAGCAAAAGACTTAGTTGATACCGTCGAATTCAGAATGGAGACCTAGTTCATCGCTTAATCCAATGCTCTGATGACCCGCAATCAACAATTCAATGCCTATATCAACTCTGCATTTCGAAGCATCAAAGCTTCCCCTTTCCTCGTTTAGCTTTGAAACCACAAGAGATGGATGTGATAAAAATTAAGATCAAATCAAAAGACACCATAAGACCATCTTCTCCAACGCCTCATAGCCTCAGACACTTGAAACTCTCTCTCCTAGATCAGCTCTCTCCTCCAGAATATGTCCCGATGATCTTTTACTATGCTGACATTGATGATGGTACCAGACTTCGAGCTCAAGCCAAGATCGGTTGCCTCAAGAAATCCTTATCGGAGGCCCTGGCCGAGTTCTACCTGCTTGCGGGGAAAGTCAGAGACAACCAATTCGTGGAGTGCAACGACTACGGGCCGAGTTCATCGAGGCCGAAGTGAACTGTCCCCTCTTGGAGATCTTAAGACTGCCAAAGGTCGAGTTATTAGATCAATTACTTCCTCGTGATTACCACATTGCAAGATCGTCATCCACAGAATTCCAATTAGCAGTCCAAGTAAATGCTTTTACCTGTGGAGGATTGGCCATCGGCTTCTGCACATTGCATAAGCTTATTGATGGGGTCACATTCACTTCACTAGTAAATGCTTGGGCTGCTAAGTCTAGAGGTTCTGGTGACCATTTGTCTCCCACCTTTGTCCGGCCGCAGTTGTTCCCGCAAAAAGACTTGTCAGGCTTATTGCCCACGCTAGACATACCAAAAGACAAGTGCATTACAAAAATATTCGTGTTCAATGGCTGTAAGATCGCTTCGCTGAGAGAAAATCACGAGCCGCTTTCGCGGGGACCGTCCTAGTCGCAATGAGGTGATCTCCGCGCTTATCTGGAAGTGTGCTATGGATGCGTCTAGCGCAAGATTGGGTTCCTTTGTTTCATCTGTTTTGACACAGACAGTGAATTTGCGAGCCAGGATCGATCCGCCACTCTCAGAATCTTGTGCTGGCAATCTCCTTTGGCTGGCAATGGCACCTGGTAGTGATCAGATAGGATTGCACGACTTGGTGAAAGAGATCAGGAAGTCAATAAAGAAATTTGACAGAGAACATGTTCGGAAAATGCAGGGCGAAAGCGGTTTTCCCCTCATCTTCGAGTCTCTCAAACAGATAGTCGAGTTGGTTTCGGCGAACATGGACATATACAGATTCACTAGCCTAGGGAAATTCCAGTTATACAAAGCTGATTTCGGTTGGGGGAAGCCGGTCTGGGTGAGCAGCGCTGGGCTGATCTTCAAGAACGTCGTCGTCCTGATGGAATCGAGATACGGCGATGGAATTGAAGCTTCGGTGACCATGGAAGAAAAAGATACGGGTGTTTTTGAGAGGAACCAAGAGCTGCTTGCATTTGCTTCAGCAACTGAGAGCCCTTCCTGTCCGCTACCGAATTCTCGCCTTTGAGTTCTTCAATTCGAAGAATTACCTCGTTAACAATTGGCAAACCCTGAGTTCCCATCCGAATAAATCTCATCTGAATCACCTCCCCGAATCCTCACGCGCAACACAGAAATGAAGATAATAGAAATGAAAACTCACTTTAGCCGTGGACTAGAACGTGTGTGAGAATGAATTGAAAGCGATTGTAATGAGGCAAACACTCGGAGGAAGCTGCGAAATAAAGTTGCAAATTCTTAAAAATTCAAGAACGTATTTGCCGCAATTTCATTTTCGTCCCCCAAATTCTGTCTGCCGAAGCACAATCCAGTTCTACCCTAGTCTTTGATGCATTCCTCTGCTCTCTTTCAAAAATCTATTGACTACATGCATTTCTCGATGAATGCGCAGTGTCCGGTTTCTTTTTGTATAACGCGATGACAGAGTGGATCATACGTCACGTCGGGGAATTCTCCTTGACTAGGCTCGCGTGTAAGTTCAAAAATTTTAACTTCTGTTCTTGTTGGATACTCGAGCCAATGAATATGCCTGCATAGGCTGTGATGAACAAAGCTCCCAGCATGGCCAATGATCCTTCAGATAATTAACAATGCAACGCACGCAATGACGTACTCGACTCGTTCCAGGTATTGTAGCGCGGAAGAATTTTCGCTGCCGTCCTCACGCGAGTTCTGTACTATCTTGATGTTGTCTTCCGACCCAGCACAGCACTAGTGCATGTGCGCGCAGGAACCAGAATCTGAGACCCGGCGGCCTCTTGCTGGGGGGTACTCATCATTCCTAGTGATCCTTAATCAAAGGTTAGACTCTGCAAAAACCTGGTATTCATCAGATGATCGATGCTCGGGATACAACCATCGGCCTAATTGCTTGTATTCGAATTTTTAAATATTTTAAGAAAATAAATCTTTTTACTTTATTTTTCGTTGATCTCGTTTTTCTTTTTTTTCCTTCTTCCTCCTCCGCCTTACAACCTCGAGCCACTCGAGCTCGTCTGTGGCCGTCCACCACCGATACTCACGGTTTGCGGAGGAAGAGGAAATAAAAAAGGAAAGAAAAAAAAATAAAAATTCTAACCAAAAGAAAAATAATTTCAAAACATTCGATTTTTAAAAAATTCCAGAAAAATATAAATTTATGATTTTTAAAAAAAACGTCGATTTTTTATTTCTATAAGCAATAAGTGGATACAAATTAAAAATTTTCCAAACAATATACCGTTTTCCTTAGAAAATATTTTCCAACTAACTTTACGTTTTCAAAAAGAAAGCACCTTCAGATTATGCAAAAACCCAGTATTCATCGTATGATCGATACTCGAGATACAAACATCGGCCTAATGGATGCTGCTGATCATTATACTTTGTAGGCGAAATCTAAAAGTTCAGAAAGAACGAATTGGCTCCAGGGTACAGAACCAGAGGTGGAAGAGATATTGCCACCGAAAAGCGGGGAAGAAACAAGGATGCAATCCAAAAAAAAAAAATTCCGAGGAATCTCGAAGAGAATATGATTGATCGAAGCATTTTCCCCTTTTCACACGGCATGCCCGGCTTACAAGGCGACAACTAATAAAAACCAATTTTTTTTTCCAGATTATTTTTGTGTTTGGTGTGTTTCGTTTCTTTTCTTGGCCACTTTCTTGTGGTGCTCTTGTGCCTAGGAACATTCGACCCGAACAAGAAACTACTTGGGACATGTCAAAAATCCAAACTATATAAGTTGTCCATGGCCGGTGTTGCACTCTTTCAGAGCTTCATTGAATATCTTCTGAGAAGAAGAGGAAGAAGAAGCAGCAGCAGCAATAGGGATAGATGGCTCATGTTCCTATTCAGGTCCCTAATGAGTTGTACCTTAACATAGACGACCTTACCATCGACTCTGTGAGTTGTCTCAAGCTCACTTCTCCTTCTCCGTCGTCCTTGACTCGCTACCTCTCCACGAGCTCGAGCTCGATCGATCATGAGGGCATGCTCGCGTGTTGTGACCGGGAAGAGGAAGAAGAGGCCAGAGGCCAGAAGAGGCTCAAGAGGAATTACAGTTTCGCCGAATCAATCGGGAGCAACAGCCCTGGAGCTTATACCAGCGGTTTCAGCAGTGGCCGGATCAGCCGGTGCAGCAGCACGAGCAGCCTCGACACCCTCCCAAGGCTCCACATCCGCGACCACATACGGACGTACTCGCAGCAGTATCTCGCGGCGGAGGCTGTCGAGGAGGCGGCGGCAGCCTCCATCATCAGCGTTGGAGAGGAGGATGGGTCTGCCGACGGGATGAGGCTCGTCCAGCTGCTCGTCGCGTGCGCTGAGGCCGTGGCTTGCCGCGACAAGTCGCACGCATCATCGCTGCTGTCGGAGCTCCGGTCTCGGGCCCTCGTGTTTGGTACCTCGTTCCAGCGAGTGGCCTCGTGCTTCGTCCAGGGCCTGGCTGACCGACTGTCCCTGCTCCAGCCGCTCGGCACGTCGGGCTTCGTCTCGCCGGGGGCGGCGGCAGCAGCAGCTGGGGCCGCAGCCTTCGGTGAGAAGGAGGAGGCCTTGCGGCTGGCCTACGAGATCTGCCCGTACATACAGTTCGGCCACTTCGTGGCGAACACATCAATATTGGAAGCCTTTGAGGGAGAGAGTTACGTCCACGTGGTAGACTTGGGGCTGTCCCTGGGCCTGCCATGTGGGTACCAGTGGCGGCGGCTAATCCAGAGCCTCGCGGGCCGCCACGGCCAACCACCGCGCCGCCTCCGCATCACTGCCATCGGACTCAGCGCCAAGAAGTTTCGCTCCATCGGGGACGAGCTCGGCACCTACGCGCTCAAGTTCAGGATCAATCTGGAGTTCTCTGTGGTGGAGACCAATCTGGAGAATCTGCGGGCTGAAGACATCAAAATCTGTGAAGGTGAAGTGCTTGCTGTGAACAGCATTCTTCAGCTGCATTGTGTTGTCAAAGAGAGCAGAGGAGCTCTGAACTCTGTGCTTCAAATGATTCATGAATTGTCACCCAAAGTTCTGGTCCTGGTAGAGCAAGATTCGAGCCACAATGGGCCTTTCTTTCTTGGGAGGTTCATGGAGGCTCTGCATTACTACTCTGCAATTTTCGACTCTCTGGACGCTATGTTGCCCAAGTACGACACCCGGAGGGCCAAGGTGGAGCAGTTCTACTACGCGGAGGAGATCAAGAACATAGTGAGCTGCGAGGGGCCAGCGAGGGTGGAGCGGCATGAGAGGGTGGACCAGTGGCGGCGGAGGATGAGCAGGGCCGGGTTCCAGTCGATGCCAATCAAGATGATGGCTCAGGCCAAGCAGTGGCTCGGCAAGAACAAGGTCTGTGTGGGCTACACTGTTGTTGAAGAGAAAGGGTGTCTTGTTCTGGGGTGGAACTCCAAGCCCATTGTGGCTGCTTCTTGCTGGAAATGCTAAGAACAGAACACCCCACCTTGAACCATGTTTGCTACGAGTGGCATTTTCCAGTAAAGTTCAAGGAACAGTTACAAAGTCCATGGGTTTCGCTTTCCGATGGAATATAAACATGGCTTCCCTCTCTTTTTTCTGTAATGACAATAATCGACGCCTGCTAAGCTACATGGGTTTGTAGCTGTGTCGTGATCCGGCGGGTGCGAACACCGGATTTGGATATAAATAAGTCGCGCTCGCATATGAGCTTGAGTGCGACCTCTTCCGGTGCTTTTAACAGATGAAATAATAAGACTATATGGAGGGACGATTTGTTTGGCATGTGAAGTTGTGAACACTCGTTGACCTTTGCAATGAAAGAAACACTGCTGTATAACACATGAGTTCCATCTTGAGGCCCAATTACAACGACAACCTATTCGCAGTTCTATCCAGCAGAAGATCGCACGGGAACACGCTGGTCGCATTCTGATTCGGGTACAGAGAAGAATTGCCCCTACGGAACGAATTATGTTTCAATGAGATTGTGCAGATTAGAGCAGTCCTCTCTCTAATTGGCATCGCAGTAAGAATGCAATTATGAACTTGATCTCCTCCAAGCAACTGTCATGTTGTTGAGAGACATTGGTGAATTGGATCTTTGTCCGCTAGGAACCGAACAGACAAGAAAGGGCATGACACGGAGTTCCCTGTTTTCTTGGCAAGCAGCAGTTGGAATTTCTCTTTGGACTTCGACGCGAGAGACCGAGCCAGCTCTTGTCTGGATTTCTTACAGAAAAGAACAACAGGAACAAGGTTAAAAGGAGGGTGTCTGTCTTCTTGCCGCAGGCGTATGTGCTTCGAAGATGCCATTGATAAAATAGCTTCGGGTTCTAGAATTCTAGTCTTGTGCAATTCGATGACTTCAGGATTCTACTCGCCAATGTGAATCAAGAACGAAGATTTAATTAAGATTTGCACCATTAGGGGTCGAATCTGGAAATTATATTTTGTTTTTGCCCCTCTAACGTGGAGCTTTTGGGAGTTGTGCTATGGAAATAGGGATAATGACACAAACAGTCCTTGAATTTTGGCCTTGATTTTTTAATTTGTTCAATCTAATCCTTGAACTTTAACTTAATGTTTAATGTGGTCCTTGAACTTTTAATTTGTTCTATGTGGTCCCTGAACTTTTGGTATATGTTCAATGTAGTCTCCGAACTTTATAAAAATGTTCGATATTATCCCTGAACTGGAATTAATGAAAAGACTACATTGAATATTTTCATATAATTCAAGGACCACATTGAATATGTATCAAAAGTTTATGGACCGTTTGTGTCATTTTCACTAATACTTTGCCGGTCCTACTCTCTATTGACTATATATTGGCAATTAGAAAGAAGGAAAAAAAAATCCACCAATTAAATAATAAATGTTTCGATGACACAATTAATCTATGCATCAACTAAGGTTAATACCACGAAAAACCTCAAACTAATACACCTATAACAAATTTACCCCGAACTAATTTTTTGACCACAAAAAATCCCCAACTGATATACTTATGATAAATTTACCCTCCGTTAAAGATAGAGATTTGATTGTGGGGGGAAACCATGAGAAATTTGAATTGATTTGTTTGAAATTGTGAAATTCATTTACCTCCAAACATCAATCATTCAACAAACATGGGAAAAGTACAATAGGACTTGGCAATTAGCAAAGCACATTATTGTCTCAAACTAGATCTTTAGAGGCAAAAGTACAATTGGAGGGTAAATTTATCACAAATATACTAGTTTGGAGTTTTTCGTGATATTAACTCTAAAGACTATGGCTATCGTAGATATGCTAAAGCCTATGGACCCTTGACCGCAGAATGTTTTATTTTATCTTATTTTCTTAAGAGGTAGGTAGATGCCACAGAAAAAAATGCAGGGACCTAATTGCAAAAGTCGCAATAAATTGAGGCTCTAACCTATTTTATAGGGAAAATTTCAATTAAGGACCCCAAATGGGGTTTTTTTCTCAAAAAATGACCTCAAGTGGACGTAGTGTTAAATAAAGTGCGAAGTGCGTCGAGTCTCAAATAGGAGCTGCGAAGTGTCAAATTAGTCTCAAGTAAGGATATGGGTTCGCCGGCCGGCGAGCACAGTTACTGTTCCGGCGATCGAAAAAGGGCAATTTCGTCTTCTTTTTTTTCCTTTTTCTGTTTTTTTTTCCTTTTCCTTTTCCTTTTCTTTTTCTATTTTTTTTTCTTCTCTTCCCTCCGCCGGCCATAGTCGAGGCCCGCGGAGGTCGACGGCCTCAGGCGGAGGCCGCCCTCGCTCGCCCAACCCAGTCGAGGGCCGCCCTCGCCGGCGTCGGGCGGGCGAGGGCGACCCTTGCCGGCGTCGGCGAGGACGAGGGCGAGGATTGCCCTCGCCGGATATGGCGAGGGTCACCCTCACCCACCCAGCCCAATTTTGGCTCGAGGGCCGCCTCGCGTATCCGCAAGGGCGGCGAGGTTGCCCTCGCCCGCCCAAACTCTGGGCCAAGGGCCACCCGACGCGGCGAGGGCGGCCTCGACCTCGCCCACCCAAGTGAGGGCAACCCTCGCCCTCGCTCGACGCCGGCAAGGGCAGCCCCTCCGCCAGCCCTGGCTATGGCCGGCGAAGGGAAGAGAAGAAAATAAAAATAAAAAAGGAAAAAAAACAGCAAAAGCAACAAAAAAAAAAAGATGAAACTGCCCTTTTCCGGTCGTTGGAACAGTAACCATGCCGGCCGATAAGTATTTGACTGGCTGGCGAACTCAGGCCCTTACTTGAGACTAATTAAGTACTTCGGATTCCTATTTGAGATTGATTGGGTACTTCAAGCCTTTATTTGACATTATATCTACTTGAAATCCTTTTTCAACAAAAAGACCCCGCTTGAGGTCTTTAATTGAAATTTTTCCTATTTTATATAACAGACCTCAAAGCTGAGCAAGCAGAGAGAGAGAGAGAGAGAGAATGGAGGGTGTAGTATTAGGAGGCGCGAGTAGCTGTGTCTTCTCGTCATCTCCAACAACCGCCGCGGGCGGAAGAGATGGAGTGGTCGTCTGCAGACCTCGGGCCGTCTTATCCTGCGCCCCTTACCCGCGCGCCTCCGCTCACCGCCGTCTCCGCCTGTCGCCGTTCCCGTCGACCTCGCACCTGTTCTGCCCTGCTGCCGCTCCTCGCGCTTCCCGCGGCCGCACCAGGCCTCGCATTTTCCTCCCTCATTTGGTCGCTTCCTCGGTCCGCTCTCTCTCTCTCTCTGTTTGTAGTATTGATTGCGCTAGAGTGCGAGTTCCAGGGCTTAGGAGCTTGTGTGTGTTTCTCGTTCTTGGGTGAATTGGGGGAAGAGATTCTGCAATTGACGCTCTAATTTCTCACGTCGGAAGTCAATATTTTACCGAATGCGCGATGACGTAGTGGCCGTTCGTTTCAATTTCTCTGCTTTGACCCGCTTTTTTGAAGGTTTGGTCTGTTTCTCTCTTATCTGCGTGCAGGAGCAAGTGGAAGAGACTTACATTATGATAAAGCCCGACGGTGTTCAACGCGGCCTGGTAAGCTTTCCCTCTTCTTCTCGCATCCCCCTGATTATGGAGAGTTGTCTGTTGTGTGGAGCCTATTCCATTTTGAATGTCGAGGTTGAATTTTCGGTCTCGCCTCAAGGAATGAAATCGGGTTTGTGTATGTGTGGTGTCCACGTAACGTAAAAACTTACCGGCGTTGCTTGTCTTCCGTTCTCTGGATTGCGGATTCGCGATAGGTCGGGGAAATAATTTCGAGGTTTGAGAGGAAAGGGTTCAAATTGACTGGCTTGAAGCTCTTCCGGTGCCCCAGAGAATTGGCTGAGGTTCTCATCTTGCATACCCTTTGGTTTTATTCCTCTCTCTTCTACTTGCCCGGAGCATCCAATACTTTCTATTGCCCATATTTGGCCCCTCTTTCAATTGTCTGTTGCCCTCATCACCAACCATGAAGATTTTGAAATAATTTCTCTTCTCTTGCATGGTTGAACCATCAAGAATACTTTGTTCATTCGTTTGTGATTTCAGGAACACTATAAAGATCTTCAGTCCAAGCCGTTCTTCCCTAAATTGATCGAGTATATCACATCTGGACCAGTCGTTTGTATGGTATGGTTTACGAATAACTCTCAAAGTTTCTGCTTGTTTGGCTTTTTGTTGGCAATTGGAGTCTCTTTTCTTTTCTTTTTTTATTTTCAAAAATTTCACTTGCTTCAAAAACTCATTATCAGCTGCCTAAGAACTTACTGGGCCTTCATGTTTGCAGGCTTGGGAGGGTGTTGGTGTTGTTGCCTCTGCACGAAAGTTAATAGGGTCAACAAATCCTCTTCAAGCTGAGCCTGGAACGATAAGAGGGGATCTTGCAGTGCAAACTGGAAGGTTGTTGTTTCACTTAGTAGTCTTAGTGAGCTTGTTTTCTTGGATGTCAATTGGTGTAAGATTTAATTGGTATTCTACTGTTGTTTATTAATCCACATTTATGCGTATTAAGTTTTAAGTCTACAACATTTTATTGTTCTGTCTCGACAGGAATGTGGTTCATGGCAGCGACAGCCCTGAGAATGGCCAACGTGAAATTGGTTCGTTCCATCAGACACTAGTATTATAAACTTAATAGATTGTTATCGGTTGCATGTGCCATCTTCACTTGAAATAATTTAATTTGAAGCGAGAAACTTGGATCTTGAGTCATAGAAACATCATTTAGGGTTAATGGGTGCACGGATATACTGATTCCTGTGTAGATGGTCTCCACATGATGATAATTCACATTCAATGAATGATGGAACATATGTATTTCAAGGTGTTTCAAAGATTCTATGGACCCGAGTATATTTATACTTGGCGACTGGTCAATGATGGGATGATCACGAACAATGTTGTCTTGTTTATTTAGGTAGTTTCCCCTTTATCTAGCCAAGGGGTCAAGGGTAATTGGAATCCATTTCCTTGACATCATAGTTTTTTTCTCTTTCATTGGAAAATTGGAAAACAGTATAGAGGATAATTTGACTGCTGCTCTAATATTGTTGTGTTGCCTTATCATGTGACGGGAGCTACTTTGTTGATTTTTCTTGTTACGAGTGTAGTTGCTGAGAAGTAATTACCTTTCTCCACAGCTCTTTGGTTCAAAGAAGGCGAATTGTGCCAATGGACACCTGCTCAAGCTTCATGGCTAAGGGAGTGATGAAATATTCATGCAATTCTAGAAGCTTTTTGGTTGACCACCTGTAATATCAAGATTGTATTCTTTGTCTGAGTTAATAGTGCTTAAATATCCGGATTACCTTGTAATCTGGGAGAGAAACTTGGAAAAACTTTTGTACCGCGGCTAGTGAGTCTGTCTTTGTTTATGACTTGGGGTTCCTCTCAAGCTGTCATAATGTGGAAAACCTGAATAACTGTATGACGTTGACTTTGGTTACGCAAGAATTTGTTTCATCAAAACTGAGGTATAAACTTGACAAACTGCAGCTATGTATGATCAAATTCCTGAGTTATGGAATCGACAACCATTGAGATATGAGCTCGTAACTTGATTTAACATTTTGGAGTGGAAACCAGACAAACAACAGATAATTCAATAACAATGATCAAGGATGGTATCAATGAGAAAACAACGATTGGAGGTCCAAAGCCACAAGGTGGTAAGGACATGGACCTCAATAAAAACATACCCAAGTTGCGATCAATTTCGATGAATTTAAATGTTAATAGATCTATGTGGAGGCCAAGTCCTTCCCGATAAGTTTGAAGAACATACCTGCATACGATAGAAAATTCAAAGAGTAAACTGGAACCATGATCTATTGCATGTCGAGAGACACGTTTCCAGTTTCGGCTATTTGGAATACTCGATGTGTATTCATACAGATTTAAAGGACAGAAAAGCATTTGTCACCGAACTCATAAGTCAGAAACTTTTTCATAGTGAACCCTGAAATTCTTCAAAACATAAGATAATCACAACAGACATATAGGCAATCGAATCCTGACGAAATGAGACTTTATTTAATACGACGGTACAAGATCACCTTCCCCTAAATATTATGCCAAGTGAGTGCAAGATTAAGTAAACAAGCACTTAAAGGAGTGGAATTTGCACCAAAAAGAAAAGGAAACTAGCACATATAACAGTATCGCTTTCATATCATCTTTATCAGCATGAAAATCTTTTGACCTCAAGGTTGTGTTTGTAAGTTTTACAAGTTAATACAAACTAATAGTGCTATGAAGCACACAGTTTGTGCATGAACATTACAAATAACACAAGACCACCAGTCTGAGTGATCAATCATAAAACTGTTATTGCTCAGGAGCCGACACATTCTTGTTCCATGTTTCCGAGAGATAGGTAATCACCAGGACTTGGGGGAACGATCGACGAACAATTAGTCTCCATCGTCACCATTTTGCTATTTGAAGAAGAATGCTGTGAGCTTTTGTATTTGGAAAACAGATGAAGAATCGATACATCATCGTTGCTTCGCTGTTTCGAGTTGACGATCGCATGAGCATCGCTGGTACTTGACAAGATACAGGCATCATTTACGGTTATCGGATTCTTTTCATGCAACAATGTGAGTTGCGAATGCGAAGGAATTGGACAACTACAGTCACACTCCATGGTCATCGTATCCTCACAGTTGGAGCTTCCTGCGGAGTAATCATGTGGCCGCACTAACTCACTCGTTGGCGATCCTTGGATTTGCTGAGAACCCTGTTTAAGCTTAAGAAGTGTTGCTTCTGCACCCAAAGAACAAAAAGAAATTTTTTTAGTAAACCTTCAGATTCAAGCTCCTCAAAAATTCCTTCCACTGCATTCAGCCCACATGATTACCAATTTTTTTCTAGTAACTCTCAGATTCGGCGTCGAAAATCCAACAAGCTTGCTTTTGTTTCAAAAAGTTAGTATACAAATTTAGTGTCTACTATGGAAAAATGAGGATGATCCATCTCCTTTCAAGTGTTCAGACAGACTACCAGAAGTGTGCAAATCCTATAAGAGACAGAAGAAAAGGTTCCTCTCTGCCGTGATTATCTCTATGCAGTCACTTCATGTCAAAACTCAGTGCTAGAGTCTAACAGTTTGGCAAGAGAGGCATCAAGTTCCGAAGAGATTTTATACTTCAGCAGTCTGGAGTGGAGCTATTCTCGCAATTCGGCGACAAGGCGAGGATCTAAAAGCGTTCCATGAACAATTTATAATGTGATGACAAGGGGGACACCGGAATTAGGCGGAAACAAAAAAAAAAAAACCCGTCACTGATCTCCACCATTGCGGAAGAGCTTCTGGGAGAAACGTCGCCGTCCAAATATCGCATCGTCCTCATCGATACACAACAAACCCATCAATCCGATGGATAGATTTGGGTACTCTCTAGACCGCGAGACATCGACAGAAAGCTAGATACAGAGATCCCCCCCAATTCTATCTAGTACAGGGTCCAAGAAGCGATTTCAAGATTCAATGGGGATCATCATCTTCCCCCACCCACACAGCTAATTCAATAATCCGCCGTAGCAATCAATTCAAGGGGAGCACACGGCGCGATTCGAATCCGAAAACGATCGGAGGAAGGAGAAAAGGCGGCGAAAATCAAGAGCAGGGTACCGTAGATGGAGAGAGGATCGTGCTTGAGAAGCTTGGCCGTCGACCTCTCCAAGCTATCCGGCGACGACGACGGCCCCCTCACTCTTCCCAACATCTCTCTCTCTCTCTCTCTGTGGAAACGCAGAAGAGAAGAAGGAGAAGAAGGCACTGACTGTGACAGGAGTGGAGAGGAGAGGAGAGAGAATTTATGGCGATTTGGGTCGCGGGAAATGATTTCAAGAGGAGCGCCAAGACGAAACGAAGAAGAAGGAGAGTAGGAGGACCAGAGACGCTTCCCCGATGTTGGGCCGGGCCCACCGGATTTTCAGCCCGTCGACCCATGTCTCGTTCCTAATTGGGCTTTCTAATGGGCCGGTCTAATTCGCCCCAACCTGCGGCCCATGTCCGCAAAATTTTTTTTTTTGGGGGGTGGGTCGGGACTTTACTTTTCGTACTTGAAAAGTCAATAAAACAATTATGTTAGGTGGATTTGCCACCGTGGCCGTTAGGATTAGTGATTGTTGACTAGGACCTTTTCCACGTGAATATCAACTTCCCATTAAGCAAAGTGATTTACGTTAATCCAATAGCTACAAAGGCACGAGTGACCACTATCATTAACTAATTATTTTCCGTGCATTGCGGTTAGTGACTTAACAACGTGGCACAAAGTAGGAATTGATAGGATTGTAGTTAGTAATATTCACACTCGATAAATAACTTTATTCACAAAAGGGTTATGTTAGCTTAACAGTTTTTTAAATTTTTTTTTTTTTTTTTTAAAAAATTATTTTATTTTTTAAATATTTATATGGAAAAAATTGACATGTGAAGATGTGCGAATCTCGGGTAATGGATTGTTAAGAGCACGCTAAGCCACAATGCGATAAGTTTTAACATGCAAAGTTTTCGCTTGGACCATATTTAGTAAAACATAGAGATTTGTTTTATTCCTACAAATTCTTGAATGAGTGCACCTTACGACAATTTATAATTATTATTATTTTTTAGTGATCCAAGACATCGTCGCAAAAAAACAAATTAACATGCACTAACATACATTTTAACTCTATATGTCATGCGACTGACGTGACCTAATTCTAATGACTTTGGACAAATGATTTATTTTTGAATGAAATTCGGAATTAAAAAAAATGCCTAAATTAACATGCAATCTATTCTAAAAAATAATTTAATCTATCCTAAAGTGACTTCTTTTTGGTATTTTTATGAAAATTCGAAATCAAGAATTACCCTAAAATGAACCATCGAGATCGGATAATATCTAAATTAAACTAGGAAATAATTACTCTAATTCCTAATTTAAATTAAAAAGTCATCCTATCGACTTATTCAAAGAAAGTTATTCTAAACCTATCCTAAACATGCATCATTATCTTCTAATAAAATCAATTCAAATCCTAACTAATCTTTTTTGGAATTTTCTTTTTAAAAGAAATAAATCAAATAGATAGATAATCACCACGATCCAAACCAAATTACGCAATCCACAGATTTGTTTTACTATCTTTGAATTAAGGAAACGATATGAACCACCGATCATATCCATGTGATTGTGGATATTGATGGAAAGGCAATTCGTTTGAATTTGAACAAAATAAAATACTATTATCGTATCCAAATAGTTATGGATAGGATAAAGATTTTCTGCTGCCACCGAGTATCGTATCTCATGGTTGAGATCGGATAGTCGTCTCCGACACGTTATCGAAGCTTAGGAAAGTTTCCTAACTTTGGGTGATTTTTAAATATTTGCGAGATATCACATGCACACCCAAAGATTAACAAAATTCAATATTTTATGATGGATTTTGCTAATGTAATGATGATTTATAAGGTCGTCATGGGAAAAAATTGACACGTGAAGGGATTTGTAGAGGAACTGCACCATCAAGGGGGAAATGAAACTGGAAAAACCGGCAAAGCTCTGTCCAAAAAAATTTACAGGATCGAGACTATAATGCTTATACAAAAAATGTAGAAACAGCACCAACAAAAATGGCAGTCTTTCTACACAGGAAATCAGATAACATGGACCAAGGTACACCAAAAATCGCTGACCCATTAAACCTGTAAATAATTATTAGTTGCTGAATGAACTCCTTCTGGAGTTGGTCATCCTCTCCACAACAATCTCTTCATCAGACTGCGTCTACGCCTTCGAGGCTTCACATCGGTTCCTAAAACAAGAAACTCGGACATGTCAGCAGGGAAACGCCAATACGAGGTATCTAAATGGGACTCCTGCAGAATTTTCCGACTTAACCTGAATACGAACCGACGTTTAGTGGCATGGAAGTAAGAAGATAATGCAGAGAAAACAAGACAGTGCATGCTCAAAGCATTTCCGGACAAGACATGGAAAGAAAACGGGGATGCCGTATCTTCGACCGAAGGATTTCCTTCTCATCAGACATGGATTGTTGCATCTCGGGCTAAACAAAATCATAGAAGTTTTACCTTCTAATCTGCCGGCAGCAATCAAAGCTTCTTCTGCGAAGGGTCGCCACTGTTCAGCACATGAGTAGTTGACTCCGAGACCGACACTCAGACCTCTTAACAGATGCACAGTCCGAAGGACAGAGAATAGCTCCTCTGGAAAAGCCTACAGTTTCACACAACATGTCAGGATACTCAACATCGATAAGCCCAAGATGATCTAGCAGATCTGCAAACTGAATTCATAACAAGCTTCTTGTTGCATGTGAAAGCGATCTTCATATGGTATATCAGTAACAAATGCTTTAACTATCAAAGACCAAAGCAAGAATAGTTAGTAAACAAATACACCAGTATAAATTTTAGTGGCTAATCTTCTTATGAATGGTCAGACGTACGAAATTTCATTTCTGCATTCTGGACAGTGAGATCCCTCAGATGGAAAGAATTCAAAAGTTAGCAAGTCTAAGTAATCCTCCACTGCATGCCAAAGATATACATGCTTCCAGAGAGGCCGTCTGAATCAAAAGAATTGCTTTAATTTCCAGAAAACTAGAGAATGCGTGATCAATGAAATTCTAACCCATGCAGACGAGTAAAGTTCAGAGTAAGATAAGCTGCAGTAACTGAGGGCCCATTGATATCTTGAGCAGAGAAGAGTACTCGTGCACTACAACCATATACACTCTTACTAAAGTAATGAACAACCGAAGCAGTAACAAGGTCATAAATACATTTGATCCACTACCTGAACCGCAATTTTTTTTATAGAAGATTCCTCAGAGAACGGTTGCAGCGTCGCAACACCAGGAGGCAACTTTGTATCAAACATCGTCTCTGCCAATCTCAACAATTCCTGCTGTTCATTTTGGCATTTGCTTAACGTATCTATGCCCAGCTCCCTAAGAATCAGATGCATAGTTAGATATGATAATGTGACCACAACTTTATGACTCATATTTTGAGTCATCGGAAATTTTTTAATTATTGCATTACTAAGAATTACATTTCCTCTGTAAAATCCAGGCTTCATTTCACCAATCTCTACTCTGAAATGTTAAAACAAAAGGGATGACAAAACTGAGCATCAAACAGTAAGATCTCACACCTGTAGCTCTCACATGCCCTCACAGGGTCTCGATTCACAATAGCAAGAACCAGATTAGCGTATCCCAGTCTCAGCTTATCTGGGAGATCCTTCACTTGCCCATAGTCCAGCAAGGCCACCTGTAATTAGGGAACATCACAAGCTGAATTTGAAAATACTAGTTTGCAAATAGAACATTGAATTTACAAGCTATCAGAAGATGAGCATTTCATGTCTAGTAGACATTGTCTACCATTATTTATCTTGTACAATCTATTCTAAAAAGGAGGACAAAATGGTCTTCCACCAAGAAGATTAGCCCATGATCCATCTATTTGAGCATTTGAATATAGTTGAATTTAAATTAAAGGATGATAAAATGCAACAGTCGAACTATTATATTTGGTTTTCCATTCTCTTCAAAGCCATCTTAAACAGCAAAGCTACCTGATCTTTCATATTGGATTTACTCCTAAAATTACAGGGAAGAATGTTTGCCTTACTTGTACATAAATCATGACTCACTATGCCTAGTTATTACGCCAATGATGCCTAGTGTAGAAATAATACCCACCAATAAGCCCGACCAGCAGTCTAGGTAATCACTATATTACATTCAGAGAAAATTACACAGGAAAACAAGAATTTATACAGATCATAGGCGAAAGCAGGATTTGTTAGTGGGCACTTGCCTGTGAACCTTTGCAAATGAGAATATTTCCTGGATGAGGGTCTGCATGGAAGAAGCCACTCTTCAGAATCATTTGACCATATGCTTCTGTCAAGCTGCTAAGGATGTTCCTGTATATGAGGCATTCAACAATTGAGAGGTAGCAGTTTCTTATTCTTAAAACGAGAAAACTAAAACTCCATATTTGAGAAGTTATGAGAAGTTATGATTTTGACATGCTCTCATCAACAAAACTTGTTTTTACACCAGGTGAAATCAACTACATGAATTATTGCATGCTATTTAGATTATTATCTAAACCTTATTAAACAAATCTACCTACATAATATCTCCTCTCGCAGCCTCCATTCATTTTCTCATTCCCAGCTCTTTCTACTTTTTCCTCCGGTGCCTTCTCTAAGACACTAGTAAATCCTATTCACCGAAATCAATTCGCACGTTTGAAAATTCTCAATAAACGCTTTTGAACCATGTTATTTCATAACTAAAGCCGTAGCTATTCAATTTTAAACATCCGAGTCGCTTGAGTGACAAGAAAAACCATTGCTCAGAGCAACTCCTAAGCCAGCTAAACTACCAAACATGTCTAGCTTTCTGGTCCTTGAATCCGCCAATGCTTTGAAAAAGGAACAAGCTAATAAGTTGCAACAATTACGAACAATTACTTTACAAGAACAACAAAAGACATGACAACAGCATACTCTCCGGGACAGTTGAGAAGCTTACTGCTTTGCTGCTGCTGCAACTTTGCCGTGCGGATTTATTCCTCTTTTTGCAATTTCCTCACCAAGATTCATGATGGGAATTCCATCAATGTATTCCATCACTAAAACCCTCCTACACTAGCAGAAAATACAATAATCTGTGATGTAAAGCTCATTATATTCCAGGGGGTAGCGATGAGTGGGAACAGAACAAGCAAAAGCATGGCTTACGAAAACAATAGTGATGATAATTATAACCCAAAGGCATAAAATCTACGCATCTAGAAGGAGGTCCTAGAGTTCTAACACATGCATCTAAAGGGAGCTCAAAATGGAAAAGAGGAGCACCACTTAAGAACCAAATATCTAACATAACAGTGACATTCAATGACATATGTAACAAGAAAAGAAGAACCAGTTCCCATTTGATGGGATCAGTTCAGGGCCCTGTGTAACACTATTGAGCTACCTCTATTCTAAAACCATATCTCCAAAAAGCGCAACAAACAACTCCCACACCCCCCCCCCCCCTCCCCCAAAAAAAAAAGAAAAAAGAAAATAATAACAATAATAATAAAATAAAGGAAAGAAAAAGAAAAAATCTTGTTTGCTATTTCAATTCTGAAATGTCTAGGCAATACATACCTTGTGACCAGATTCCTTACGACCCGTGGGACCAATACAGGAGATCTTTTATTAGACTCCAACAGAAAACGTCTAATTCTTTCCATGGCATCAGCCTCCCGCATGAAATCAAACTCGTAACCAATCTTCAGCAGCAACAATAAAATCCAAAAGTGTACGATTAGTCACATGCTTCTCTTATATCTCAATGATTCAGCGCTAACACAAAAGGGGGAAAAAGAACTCGTCTACTATCATCTGCAGCATCAAAATTTAAATAAAAAAGGAACATAGAACGTTACATGCAACTGCAGTAAATTGCCAGATACTCTGTAAGGTGGTAAGAATTTATGGTAACCCAACATGTCAAATTCAGAATATCGAGCATTGACACAATCAAAGCTAATCATTAGAAGTCTAGAAGCAACCCATTCTGATAATTATGCACTAAGTTTTCCGGATATAACCGACTTTCCAATCAATTTTGCAAATATAGAAGTTTATGTGGTGAGAACCGAATCTTTCTTGCCTTCCTTGATATTAACAAGCTATTGAGACATGATCACCTAAAAGCCAACTCACACTCACACCTGTTTCTCCATTTCCTTCGTAACCGAGTAAAGATCAAATTTAATGTCTGTCTTCTGTATGCACAAAGCAAATGCTTGCATGTTGCGGATATCTGTCATCATCAGCTCCTGAACTCCAGGATGTTGCACCTATCACACAGCATCAAACTTACAATTGATTCGTACAAATCAACATGATGAAGATTTCATATTTCTCATTACCTTCACAACTATATCACTCTTATCACCTTTCAGTCTGGCCCGATGTACCTAATTTATGCACGAAACAGATCAGTCTGCTCCAAGAGCATGTTTTAGTAAGGAGCAACTTCTGACATACATCACTATCCCAGTCTCAATCTAATTATATATCCCTACTCTCAAATGAAAGCATCAAAACATATAAAGACTATTCCATTATAAAGAAAGATCTACTTGAGAAGCAGGATTGAGGAGTTCTTAAAGATACTGAACAGATGATAAATCAAAGAACCTAGATTCTTTTGATTATGGGACAGACCGTCAGAGTAGCATGTCAGTATAAGAACTAAGAAGTTAATCAGAGTTTCTTTCACTTCTTAATCACACAAAGTCTTTTGTCAAAGGATAAAGTTTCTTATGGAAGGAACAGGGAAGTAATCATAGTTGAATCTATTCACTTAAGCTTTAATTGAACAAAGAGTTGAACTAAGTGTCTAGTTGTATACTGCCATTATATTTAACATGCAATACGGGAACTCAGAGATCATTGATGTTTCTGATCTAGCATCTACAAGAGAACTTCACCAGGATGTTATTTGTCAAAACAACAGGAAAATTTCCCACTACAACATGTGGTGGTGAAGCTTCTAATTGTACATAACTGTTGCTGCCAATTATTGGAAATTCTCCAATGGAAAAGGATAAAAAAACCAAAAAGCTTCTAATTGTACATAATCATGCTTCAAAGTAGGTGTAGCTATAAGCAGCCTGATTACCTGTGCAATTGACGCAGAACCAAGAGGATCTATGTCAATTTTTTCAAACATTTCCCCCAGGTTTCTTCCCAACTCTCTCTCCAGCACCAACTGAACAACATCAAATGGTGTAGCAGGAGCATGGTCACATAGTGTAACAAGTCTTCTGACCCACGCAGCTGGGGCCAAGTCGGGCTTCCCAACGATTTGGGCTACCTATGTTGAACCACTAATTCTCAAATCAATAAATTTTGTATTCATGAAAAAGATCCATGACTAGCTACCCCAATATGAGAAGATGATGATGACAGATCATCAGAGAAATGCAATTTTGGCATGAGATCACGGATGCCAGCACAGACATGTATGAGAATGCATATGCGTATGCAATCACTTTTCTGAATATGCAGAAGGACAAGAAACTTACATCCCTCTACTTTGAATTATTGCGAGTATTCAATTCTCTCCCATGGAAGGATGATACCCGAAACCATATAAGAACACTGAAAAAGCCCTCCGTCAACTAGAGAACAAGCAACACAACGCACGCAAGCACCACAAAGAAAAAATGAACATCAAATATCAGTCCGTCCAAGAACCAAAATCTAACTGAAGCTTAAACTCAATGCAGAGGCACTCAAACAAAAAGAAAGAACCAAAATCCATCTAAAAGCGTGTGAACACGACAAGGATGGTGGTTGGTGCACATGAGCAAAGAACTAAAATCCAGTTAAGCATGGCATTGCACAGAAGAAACTGGAATGCGCAGTAAGTACAGCGAAAACCGGCTTTAAGATCGCAAATCGAAATGCTTAGTTACCTTAAGAAAGAACCCGCCAAGGTCGGAGCACATAGCATATATCTTGTCAGCCGCAAGCTCGTGTTGCCTCTCCCACATTGCCTCCTGTTTCTGCTTATCCTTCTCGAGACACACTCGCACTTGCAACACCTTAAATAAATGAAAAAAACGGGAGAAGAAATCACACACACACACACTCCCATGTTCCAATCAGCATCCATTTCAAGAACATAGACAAAAATTCAGAGGTCGACATAAAGGGGGCGCGACTTCCCCACCTTGTAACCAGCGTAGATATCAACCGCTCGCACCCAGAACTGAAAGGAACGCTGCCAAGGCCTCAACTGGGTGGAGAGATTTTCTTGAATGCTGCTGAGATCAAAAGGAGGCATTTTCCCGAGCATTCCGAATTGCCTCCTGGTCAAATCACTCCACGCTCAACAACCCGTGTACTACCGGCAAGCTCCCATTCGACTCACAAACTAATCAAACGACGTGGGTCGTCGTATCTGGTACCAGTGGCTCTTGATGCAGCATCAGCTGTACATTCGTGAAGTGTGGATGAGAAACCGATAAAGGCGCATACCATATATATATATACATACATGTCTGGTGAAACAGAGCCGAAGTTGTGGGGGGAAGGGACAGCTCTCTCACTTCAGGCTCGAAGCGTGCGAGCTCGAATTGCTTGGCTTGAAAGGCTTGTAGTGCCCAAAAGGAAAAAGGATTCGGCAAAAATAAGCGGTCCCGAGCTCTCTGCTTTTGGCGTCACCCCTCTCTCCTCACCACATCACCCCAGGCCCCCTTATCTATCACCTCCTTCCTTTCGGGCTTCTTTACGCCCCCGATCAATCCACGCCTCGAGTACATGTTACGGAGGAGAAGGGGGAAGGACGGGGAACCATCGCCGATTCAGGACGAGACACTTAACGTTGTTTCCGGGTAAGGGAAGTTGATGCCTACGGAGTTCGTGCTCCCATTGGGTGGATTCATCACTTAGGTGATGAGCTATAAGGACGGGCCGCCAACAAGCACCATAGTCTGTTTTTATCAGAAGTTGCGCGGGGTAGGGTGCATTTATTTGATTGAGAGAATTTTCAACGAATTTGTTTTCTGGAATTTCACGCAAATAATCAATCAACGGAAAATCACACGTGATCGAAGAAAATATGCATGTTTAAAATTTACGAAAATGAAATTCCTTTGATTTCCCGAACATCAAATTTTCCTCGAAATAAACACATCCCGTAGTCTATGTCAATTTTGTCAAGAAGTTTATGTAAAAGTTCGCTTGCCATGGTGTCAGAACCTGTTGTAAAAAGAATATTTCAGTATGATTCGACAAAGGAATCTCCCTTGTCCCTTCGGCGCCCGTGGATATCTTATGTAAGGCTTGTTAATTAGTGATTTAATAATGGAGATGACATGGTCCGGAACAGGACGATGCCTTTGTACTTCCAATCAGGACAAAAGCCATTGAAATTGCATTTTCGGGTATTCAAACTAGGACGGCAGACCCTGTTTTTTAAGGTGTTGATGCAGGGAAGTGGGCTTTGGGTGCTCGCGCTGCAAAAGAGGCTGTCCTGCCTGATCGAGAGAAACAATATATACTCTGACTCAGACACTAGGGCCCGTTTGGTAACGTGCCAAATAATGAAAATTTCTATTATTTTGTTCCCAGAAATAATTTGGGAACAGAAATGCGTTTGGTAAACTTTTTGTTCCCGGGCACAATTTTGCAAATATTTATGCCGAGAAACAGTTTTGGAAGAGAAACAAGAAGTAAAAAAAAATTACTTCTTGTTTTTTGGCACAATTTTGAGAATCAGTTTTTTTTCTTCTTTTTCTTTTTTTTCTTTTCTTCTTTTTGTGTTGCTCTTCTTGGGTTGTGGCCGGTCGCTGGCGACCGGCCACAGCCCAGGGCCGGCGAGGGAGTCAAGGCCCTCGTCGACCACCGACGGAGGAAAGGGTCCTCCCTGCCGGCGAGGGCTGGACCCTCGCAGCCTGGGCGAGGCGGCTCGCCGTCGGTCATGGCGAGGTCGGCCTCGCCCGGATCCGGCGAGTCCGAGCCTCGCCGTTCGAGCCTCGCCCGGTGGGTCGCGAGCCCGGCCTCGCGACCGATGTGGCAAGTGCGCGACGGCGAGGCTCCGCCGTCCGCGACCCAACCTGCTGCCGTGACCCACGCGGCCGACCTCGCCGTGGGTCGCGACGGCGAGGCTCGGCCTCGCCCGGATCCGGGCTAAGGCCAACCTCGGCCGTCGTGACCCACAATGGGTCGGCTTCGCCATGGGTCGCGACGGCGAGGCTTGGCTCGGGCGAGGCCGACCTCACCATGACCTACGACGAGCCGCCTCGCCCAGGCAGCGAGGGTCCAGCCCTCGCCCTCGCCGGCAAGGGGGACCCTCGCCTCCGCCGACGGCCGGCGAGGGCCGTGACGCCCTCGCCGGCCCTGAGCTGTGGCCGGTCGCCTGGGTAAAAAGAAAAAAAATTAGACAATTCAAAATATTATTAATAAAAAGAAATTTGTGTTTAGTTACCAAACGCATTTCTGTTTTTTTCTATTCCAGGAATAGAAATTTTGAACAGTTTATCAAACGCCTTCAAATGCACAAAAATTGTTTCCGGACACAGAATAAAAAAAAATCATTTCTGTTCAGAAATAATTTCCGGACACAGAATAGTTGTCATGCGGACCCTAGTTCACAGGAGAATCATGGGCTTTCACTGATCAAGTCACTGGTTATACTTTCCAACATACTTGTTCGTCTATTCCTAGTTTCAAGAGAGAATGATTCGATTGTGGGAATGTTATTATATCAAGCTCAGAGCAGCTCAAAAACAGCCCCAATATCCCCGCTTCCCGGAAGATGGTTCTCTGCCACACGCTTGCACGCAAACTCTTCTTCTTTAACTCACTTAGAATAGACAGTATGAGCACTGCAAGTTAAGATGGTCCATTTGACAACATTAATAGTGTCCCGTGGAGAAGTGACAAATCGCCAATGGCGTGATGCCAGGAAAAGAAGTATCAAGCACCAGATCCCATCCTTCAAGAAATGAGATAAGATACAAACCGCTCCCACTCTCTTACAAATCATTTCACATTAACATCAAAAAACGTACGGAATCTAGAAAATTCAACTGTAAGGGGCCCAAAACGAAGTTTCATGTCCCCATGAGCGAAACTTCTACATATCTGCTTCTTCCAAAGATATTTTGTGGCCAATAATCCTACCAGCCAAACAAAGCAGTCCAATAACTCTTCAGCTGCGCAAGCAGACAACTGTCTTGTTAGTCATCAGCCAAGAAAAGCAACATGAGCATCCTATAAGCTATGGAAGCTGACAAACAATCACAATGCTCATGCAGCAACAAAACAAATCTTTCTTGGTACAATGTCATATTCCCAGTTCAGAGTTTCATCACTCTGCCCAAATAGTAGCTAATTTTATCATTCTGCATGCCATCACTCAATTTCCGAGTGATCGCAACAATCCCACAACCACTGACTTTTATATCTGAACATTATAAAAGTAACTCCAATTTCAGATGAGATGAGCAAGGCATCACAATGCTCGTGGGAAGTACCTAACGAGTATGATGCTTCACATTAAATGTAAAGGCATAGAAATTATCAGAAAAAAAAAACCCTACTCAGTGCATACTGAAAGAAAATGAAGCATTAATACCATAACCTTTTTATAGATCAAATCTATCAAGATCTCTATGTACATATACTAGGGCAACCTCAAGTTTTCATGCAATGTTCTAACTAACCTCTGAAATTTATTGTAAAGTAAATATAGTATCAGAATCACATTTAGATACCCATAGGGCCATACCCTCACTATTTTACTCTTCATTATAACGATCTACAAATGATGTAACCAAGAGACAACATCATATAGTACCTCGTAACATATTCATCCGCTTTGTCAAGTTCATTACTCTTCCACATACCTCACAGATCAATAACACGAGAAAGCTTCTGAATCCGATTTAATAAGAAATCTCCTTGCTTTATGGTCGCTTGGTAAAGAGCATTCTTTGCATCTGGTCGGTTGGTTTCAAGAACACCTGCAACTTTATCAATCTTGCAGTGAAGCTTGCCAGCAGCAATAAATCGAGATAGTTCTCTGCAGAAGACTCAGATCTTTTTAGGGCAGCAATACACAATTGTTTACTCCAAAAGAAGCCAAACCAAAATCAAACGAATCTGCAACTGAAAGATCCAAGGTCTAGAAAAGAATCCACATTTCAATCACTTACAGATCAATAAAATCCACTGTTACTCCAAATGCTCTTGCCATTGCTTCAATCGTAACACTCTTATAGGATTCCAGGAACTGGGAATAAACGACAGTTCTGACTTCCCTCATGTAATAGCGAAAATGAGGGTGCAAATACCGATCCAATTTTATTTGCTCAGCCAGGCCAGCTAAGCAAAAGGAAATGAAAGAACCGTTAGATGCTCAAATCCAACTGTTAGGTAAATGAAGCCCATAACGCAAAGCAATTTCAAATACCCAGGTCAGTGAGAAAGAACAGGAAAGTATGCCTATCTATCGAGAACATCCACATCATTAGAACAAAAGGAGGCGTTGTACTATGAGAAAACTGATTAGAAAAGGTAGAAGAAATTAGTTGACACATACTTACCAAAAGCACAAAAAAAGGATTTGTATTGACAATCATAAAGAGAATTCAAAAACTCTGAAAGATGGGGGATTTTTCCGATCACCGTCAAGATCTCAGGAGCATCCACAACCTGCCCATAGCATGCTATTTTTAACACTCATGCTGTGATGCAAATCTGCCAAAACTCTGATATCAAAAAGGAAAAAGAATAATTTTATTTCTGCCAAAGAACAGACCTTCTGCTTCAAGGAAACTCTATCCATTGATATGATGCCAGTAAGAACTGTGTAGAATACAAAGGTGTCATAAGGGAAGAGCTCATAAGTTGTGAAGGTTGAAATGGAATCCAGAAATAAATTAGCAGCCTTCTTAAAATTTCGTGTCGCCATGCAATACAAGCCTTCGTACACCTTCAAACGGTTCTTCCGTTCCCAATCACCTCCCTCTTCAAATAAGCTGGTAATGTAACAAGCTTTTAATCTCGTAGAATTGGACATTAAGGAGCCGGGAAAGAAAAAACAAATTAACAGAATGGCTTACTTTTTTGCTTTATCAATGCTTTTGGAGATGAGATCAAAATCCATGTAGAAGAAAGCTAGCTGAAGGGTGTAGAAGACCAAATCCATCTTCTGCCCCACAGCCACTGTTTTACTTTCTGTAACCCTGAGTTGTTCCAGTGCTTTCTCCTATCGCAAAAAGGAGTGAGCTCGTGCGAGATTAAACTCCAATTGAAAATCATATATGGCCAGCACCCAGCAGAAATAACTAGAACTGCAAAACCTTACCTTGTCACCAATTCGAATGAAAAACAAGGATTTAGCTAAGTGAGCTTCTCTAACTTCACTTTCCCCCAAGTTTTCTTCAGCATCAGTGATCCTGGAAAGAGGTAACTAAAGTGACTCATTAAACAACCAACATAATGTGTGATGTAGGGCATAACTCAGAGTATTAGATCAATCAGACCTAAGCCATAAAACCATTTCCTTACAGCATCATTCAAATCAATGCATCACCAATCACCATGCAACAGTATACTTCCAAACGAACCAAATCAATAACTGTTGATTAGATTTCCGCAAGAAAATCAATTGTCAAATATCAAAGTCTCACATTTGGGCAACTAACTCATAACAAAATCGCTGCTCCTATTACCATAAGTATTTTCTTCAGTCATACAGTTAATCGCACGAATTTTGAAACCAAAAGAAATAAGAGAAACGAGCTTGAGCTTCATTAAATTTGAGAGCTATCGAAATTACAGTGGTATAAGAGAATGCAAGCAAAATTAGATTTTTTTTTCCACAACCGCCCCGTACTAAAATCACGGACTAATCCAAGGAATTGCATGACACCATCTTTGAGCGACCTCACACATTCGGTACCGGGTGAAAATTCATCCCAGGCATACAGCTCCAGGGAAGTAAAGGGTACACTTTGTCGATTCAAAGTTTTGTGAACCTGTCTGTTCCTTCAATGCCAATATTGAAGCTACCAGCACCATGCATGTACATATCATTGCGTTCTCTAAAGACATTAAGCCCGGGTGATTATGGGATTGAGGTGGCAAAAGTAAGATAAATTACACGATATACTATATTAGGACATATTCCAATTGAGAAGACATACATTCCCAGCTCAAGCGCTAAGCTAACGCACACATTCCCTGCGAATATCTACGATTATAGGAAGAGAACTTAAAAAAAAAGACAGAATCGAAGCTCAAGAAACCCACTTCTCGTCAAGCTTCTTCAGCTCCTCCTCAATGCGCGCGCGCATCAAACCCAAGAGCCCCTCGTCCATCTCCAGGACCGACTCGGCCGCCAGGGTTTCGTACAGCGAGGCCATATCTGGTCACGGCCACCGCAGATAGATGCAAGCTAGTCAGTGAACAAAAACCCCAGCCACGAAGAGGAAATCTCGGGAGCGAATCGGGGCGGGGGTCATTACCGTCGGACTTGATGGGGGCGAGGGCCTCCTCCTTGAGGCGGACCTTGTCGATGTCCTGGACATCGGGGTGCTTGAGGAGGAAGAGCTTGTGAGCAAGGGCGAGGTGGGGCTGCTGGGATCCCTCTTCGCCTTCCATCGGCGCCGATCGCTCCGGCGACGACGGGCGTTTCGAGTTCGTGGGAGTTTTGGCGCAGGGTGCTTGGGTGGGACGGAGCTTTGGGGACGGAAGTGACTTGAGCAAGGGGTTTTCATCTTGCTCCGGTCCGATGCCACAAAGAAATGGTAAAAAAAAATGAATTTTGGAAAATAGCATAAATGTTTTTTGAACATTTATTTAACGATAACTTTTTAAATTGTTCAATATAATCTCTAAATTTTTAAAATATTATCTTTGAATTTGAATTAATGAAATAACGGTATTAAATGATAATTATATAATTTGGAGGTCAATTTGAACATATACTAAAATCCAAAAACTACATCAAACAATTTCAAAGTTCTAGAATGATATTACACGATAAAATTTATAAATTATATTGAATAAATTAAAAATTTCAAGAATTACGATTTAAAAATTATTTGTATCTTTATCCCTTTTTATTTTCATAATTCAGGAGCTATATGGGCTCATTCGCTAGTGCGTGGTCGTCTTCCAGCCCACACCATAAGAACTCGGTCCATGACAAAAAGCCCATATACATGTCTCTCTTTTCTTTGCACGGGACACTAATAGCTGAAGCGCGCGAGCATTTCGCCTCACACAACACAGAAGACAGGTTCGTCTTCCTCTCTCGTGCTCTGCTATTTTATCATCGTAGCTTCAGATCATGCTCAGATCAACGTTCGCTCCCATTTTCTTTACATTCCCCACAAGACCCAGAATTCAGAACTCGCTCCTTCGACCCATTGCCTGCACCTTCTCAGACGTCTCGCCAGATGTTCGACCAAATGCCGCACTCACTCTTCCTCCTACAATCCAAGCGGTGCTAGAGCCCCCCAAGTCAGCTTACGTCCATCTTCCGTTCTGTAGAAAGCGCTGCCACTATTGTGACTTCCCCATTGTTGCTCTGGGGTCACTATATCAGGAGGAGGATGACCCGCGGATGGTGAATTATATACAATTGCTTTCACGTGAAATCGAGGCAACAAGAGCCGGATTCAAGACCAACCCTCCTCTTGAAACTGTGTTTTTTGGAGGTGGCACGCCGTCTCTGGTGCCGCCTAGGTTTGTTTCTTCGATCTTGGAATTGTTGAGAGTAAAATTCGGGTTGGTGGCGGATGCAGAGATATCGATGGAAATGGACCCTGGCACTTTCGATGCAAGAAAGATGAATGATTTGATGGAGTTGGGTGTAAATAGAGTGTCATTAGGTGTTCAGGCATTTCAAGAAGAGTTGTTGAAGGCTTGTGGGAGGGCACATGGTGTTGAAGAAGTTCATGAGGCTATTCAAATCGTCAAGTCTTGTGGTGTTGCGAATTGGAGCATGGACCTCATCTCATCTCTCCCTCATCAGACACGTGAAATGTGGGAGGAAAGTTTGCATTTGACGATTGAAGCATCACCTGCTCATGTCTCTGTCTATGACTTGCAAGTGGAACAAGGCACAAAATTTGGAAAACTGTAAGTTGCCCAAGCATAGAGTCACGCATGAAGGCCGTAGCTTTTAGTGATTCAAATAAGTTTGAAGCTGATTGTTGAATGTTGCTGCAGGTACTCACCGGGGGAATTTCCGCTGCCTTCAGATGGACAATCTGCAGATTTCTACAGAACAGCATCAAGGATGCTATCTGATGCAAGCTACAACCATTATGAGATCAGCAGTTATGGTCGAGACGGATTTGAGTGCAAGCACAATCTTACATACTGGAAGAACTCGCCTTTTTATGGTTTTGGCCTTGGCTCTGCTAGTTATGTTAAGGGGTTGAGGTTCTCAAGACCAAGGAAAATGAACGAATACATGGATTATGTGAAGAAGTTGGAGGAGGGAATGAAAGACTCGTGTGGAGATGATCATGTTGAAGTTGATGATTTGGCCATGGATGTTGTGATGCTCTCTCTGAGAACTGCAAGAGGTTTGGACTTGAGATCATCCAGGGAAGCATTTGGCGACTCCCTCCTCCTCTCTCTTTGCAAGGTCTATGAGCCTTACTTAGATAGCGGGCACATGATTTTCATGGACAAGGACCGCAAAGTCATGCCTGGCAGGGAATTGAACACCCTGCTGATGGACAAAGGCGAGATCACAAGAAGATTAGCTTATATGAGGCTCAGCGATCCAGATGGTTTTCTGTTGTCAAATGAACTCATATCGCTTGCATTTGGGCTCATAACTCCATAAAACTGTGATTGGCGTAAGATATGCATATGCCTCAACACCTACAGCCCAACAAGCAGTTCTTGTCAGGCTGCCTGCTGCTGAGAAATCAGAAGATTGCTTCGGTTGCATTTGCTGGTGAATTCGAATTCAGAAATAGTCTCACTAATCAGCATGAAAGCCGATCGCCTGCTAGGTAATAATCAGGACAGATGCTGTCCAGCTTTACATGAATGATAACATACAGAGTTTATGAAGCTATCTCTTAGAGAATAGAGAACCAATTGGGAAGATCAAGAGATGGAACCAAGAGATAAGATGGATGCAGCAGACTCATCAACTTTACACCGTGACTGCAAACATCATAAGACAACATTGCACCAAAAGGATCCAAGAGGTGTTGCCTGATGGCTAGACCAGAACGAGACAGGAGAAGAAACATTTCTGGCAAATTTTTGCTGTAATATGAAACTAGACTCCACAGTCATTATTAAAGGACGAAAATGTTTCGAAGCATGGTGGGTGAAAATTGCACAACTACTTTCAACTAGTCTAATACAGATTGTGTTTAGCAAAACAATGCATATTTACAAGGTATTACAACAGATATGATAAAGCCACACCGAGCTTATTTTCCAAAATGTTGAATTTATATAAACCAGACTCCAGGTAACAGGAGAGAGTATACTTCTTTCGGCCCAAGAAGATTAAGACCTCAGCAAGTAGGTTCAAAAGCAACTGCCAAGTTTCGAATTGCATGATTCCATATTCCACCAAAACAATGGCTGGGCCATGCCGTCTTGCTTTCGTAATGATGCAGCTATTGTGTGCCTGATTGACCGTCGAGTCAACACACCACTTACGAAGGCTTTGTTCTCTTTTTTATGCGCTTAAGTTCTTGTTTTCCTCTCATGTCCCTACAAAATTGGAAACAAGAATTCTTATTCCCATATTGTAACCGAAACACTGAAAGGCAGCCAGCAAAATTGCCAAAATATATTGGAATACGAGAGTATATAACACACAATTAGTTGGGATATCAACCTGCCTCATGTTTTTAAGCAAAAATGAGTACACCAAAATTAAAGAGGGGGAGAAATGGTACCTCTGATGTAAGAATACAATGATATAGAGAATAGGAAGGAGCATCAGCGTCAATATTGCAGTTGCGAGATACAATATATTTGGTTGCTTCTGCAGATGAGAAGAATTTCAGAACCACACCATCATCGGACAACAAACATCATCGACATGTGTGTTTGGAATGACTTTCGCATTCAAGAATTTGAGATTCAACCTTTGTGTAATCTCAAACACCTCAGATCCTATAAACATACAGATATTGATATCTGACATCATGTAAATCTTTTCATAAATCCTCTTGTTTGAAGGGAAAAGTTAGAAGGTACTTTTTGACATATAAGCATATAGCCTCTAGTTTGCCAATTGAGAGGCTTGGGGTGGGGACAATAACCCAAAACCATTTTTATCCAAATCAAAGAAAGAAATAGGAAGAGGAACGGGGTTTACTGCTTCTGCCAGGTTACTAGTGAGATTTGGCTTCGCAACTGCAATGTGGGCTCTATATCACAAGCTAATACTAATACTATCAAAAGAAAACAATCCATACCAGTCCTCCTCTCGGAAAAGGCGTTTTCTTTTCAGAGCAAGTGTGAGCATCACAAAATTGGTGCACAAACAACTCTAGCAATGCAAGTATATAATTATGGTTAGCAACACAAATAGTGTTCTTGGAATAATTAAAGAACTACACGGATATTACCATGAAGTCGGCTTGCTGAAAGACCTTGATTTACAGGAAAACAGCTATCAGCAAGACTCTGCCAACAAGAAAAACTTTAAAAAAAGATGGCAGAAAAGTGAATATCTGTTATGGGAGTTGCAGGATTGCAGGTAAACCTCACATAGGTGGCGGTTCCTGGCTGCAGCAGCAGGATTGCACTTAGTCTTTTGTGACTTTGAATTGATTAAAAAATCACAATGCAATGCGCCGCATAGATCAGCCAAGCATTTGTTACGACTCTGGTTCAATTGAGAAATGTGAGAGAACAAAACAAAATTTCTAAACAAAGGTTGTAACTTCAAAATTTAGTAGAGACTTCTCAATTCAAGGACCAGCAACAAGCAAAAGGTATTTACTTCCTGTTAATATGCATATGCTACAGCCACAATGATCACCTTCTCTCTTGCAAAAGAAATATCTATTCATCACAGGCCACCAAGAGTAATCAGAGGCAGTTGCCATCGGAAAGAAATGATTGTAAGGTCTTCGCTTACATTGATTGCTATATCATATAATTTTCACTATGTGATGAAACATTTAGTAGCGCTTACTATCTAATAAAAACCCCCAATCACTTAAGGACAAGGAATGAGGATTTACATACGACATTCAGAAGGTTGTAGTGCCTGTTGTCGAAATGCTGATCAAGAAACTTCTCGGCACGAAAGCTTTTCTTACAGTATCCACAGCGCCATTCATTTATGTCGACATGAATTTTATGCTCCTCTTGATCTCGGAACATGTCATTATCAGGGTGAAGCTTACATGGACTCGACATCTGAAACTTTTCTCGTTTCACAAACGGCATCAAATACTACACAAGCCAAACACCGTGTACACAAAACGTTAGGAAAAGAAAAAGACCTCTTCACGTACAAGGATAAAAAGGCAGGGTATAGGGAAAGAAAAAAAATAAGTCGCTATTACCTCCTCAACAATTTGCCGCGCCGCCCGACTTCTTTCTCTAGAACAATGTACTTCATGAGCGTGCTCTTGTTCTTGCTTAAGATTTCTAAAGAAGATCAAACACACCAGGAATGTTAGATTGCCAGCACTCCTAAAATTGCAAAATCTAGTCGCCAAGAATAACATAAGTTATCGAGGACGCCAACGTCAATCTTGAAGCATCACAAGTGACCTTAATTCAATCCTATCCCTCACAATTTTTAATGATAAAAATAAGACATCATCATTCAGGCTAATCTGGTAAGAAGGCGAGATCACCTTGCAGCTGCAGACTTCGTCAATTCCTATGAATATGAAATGTTTTTCGTCAATTCACCCGGAAATTAACAAGAACGAGCTGAAATTTGCAATATTTTACATGAAAGAATCAAACCACATAAGTTGGAAAATGGACAGCATCAAATGTTCTTGACAGAGGAACCAACACGAATCGAACCAAACCACCCAGGTTCCTTTTTAAGGTAACATCGTCCACTTGAACAAACATCAACTACGAACATCACGAGCTCCACAATTTTTCTAGTTACGAAGATAAATATACACATGGAGAGAAAGAGAGAGGCAGAAGTAAACGAATGACCTGATCGATTTCAGCTGGAGATGCAGAGGAGAACGTGAATTGGAACCCTAGGAAGATCGCGACGAAGAGGACGATCGGAGCGATCGCCGGAAATCTTTCCATCTCTCTGCAGAATGAACAGAACGGAAGTTCGTCGACCAGAATTTCCCGGTGGCCGAATGAAGTTTCCGGAAATGGAATGAGCGTTCAAATTATTGGCCCAAAGGTCGTGGGCCTTAATCCATTTACTCTCATAAAAAGCCCAAAAACGGTGGGCCGTTTTGATTCTTGACAAAGCCTAAGAAAATCAAATGACATGCAATGTGATCGATATCCTTAGGCTCCGATTGTTTCGCAGAAAATGAGTGATTTGGAAAATATTTTTCGAAAAATGATTGTTTATATGGTTTAGAAAAATTATTCAACGAAAATATTTTTGTCATTGATAACAATCTATGTCTATTTTTGTGGGCGATGAAAAAAATTTCCATTCATTTATTTTTCTAAACGATATAAGTAATCATTTTTGGAAAAATATTTTCCAAATCACTCATTTTCGGGAAAACGAATGCACCCTTAAATATATGTTCACGTAAGAGATTTATTTTGCCTAACTTGTTCTATTAGAGATAGATAATAGATATTACTTCTAAATACCGATGAATTAGATTGAGTATGAATAACGACAATTAAGGGTGCAATCGAAATATGAAAAATCTACTCTTGCACCTTTTAGTTCGCGCCGATCATGACACAATTTTCCCCAAGTATAGAAAAGGAAAGAAAAATGTTAGATGAGATAGCGACGGCAAAGGAAGTAACCTGACATAGCTCTAATTCTTACTTTGTTCGAAGAGTGAATCAGTGTTGGGTATGCATAAATTCAAGATGTAAGTGAAACGATACGATAATTGAATCTAGTCAATGCCAATTGACACTTTTGTCTCCTTATTCTTTTCTCTTTTTCTTCGAAACATACGTACGTACATACTTGATTATAATATGACCCACAAGAAAAATCTCGAAAGCTAATCAGATATCAATATACGATGATAACCTATGTTTTACGTATATTTGTAGATTTGCACCACGCCAATAACCAATGAATGATTGTACATACATAGTTCAAGGACTACGCCGCACAATGCGATTCGCCGCTCAAACACCAAATCGGTGTGGTTTCTTGCCCGATTCTCAGTTGGAGCCTAGGGAACGTGCCCAGCTTGATCAGATCAGATGACCCGAATGATGGCATGATTAGGCTCTAAACCTGCTCCTGTCGATCCTAACGAATCTTTTTAGGACTAATAAACAAATTTCGCGCGTGCCCTTATGAACAAACTTTATCGATCTTTACTTTATATTTTGAAAATTGAAGTTTTTCTGCGTCCTTGAGGGTCCAAAGTGGGTTCAACTTTTGAGAAGGGGGAGCTCTGAATTGCTGAACCTAGCAGAAGGAAAAGCTGCCCTTTTGACTTAATTAAACCATCTTATCTCTACCCCGAAATGTTCTTGATCTCTCTATACAAATGTTGCATCAAAAGTCGTAATTTTTTAATATTCGATTGGTTAATAAATACGAAAAAAAGAAATCCTATGAAAGAATCGCTAGCCATAAGACCTGCATGGTCCGACCCTTGGAGAACGCATGCACATCACTGAGAGAGAGGAAACATGGTGGTTCCGAGCGATGAAATTGTTGCTAAAATGTGGATAATTTACCAACTTTATTAAGGGAAAAAGTCACAAAAAAATCCCGAATTATGTCTACCGTAACACGTTTACCCTCATTTTTTTTATTGTTACGTCAAAAACCCCCAAATTATGCCCACCGTGACATTTTTAATCTAAACTTTTTCTTTTGACATAAGAAAATCACAAACTTGTACATATGTGAGACATTTACTCTCCGTCAATGTTCCGTTAGATGACTGTTTAGCCAAAACAACGTCGTTTTTATTTCACTTAAGCACGTCCATGTCAATATTGTTTGCTTTTATGGCGTCCATGTATGCATATTTTTAATGGTTCTCATTGACAGAATTTTGACGAAGGGAAAATGTGCAACACTGGTACATGTTTGAGATTTTTTGCATCACAAAAAGAAATTTATGGCAAATGTGTCACAGTGAGTATAGTTTAGAAATTTTTCGTACCTTTTACCCTTGTTTTAATGGTTTACTTAGGTAAGTATCAATTTCCTTGAAGCGCATAAATTGCAGTGCCATCCCTCGTGCAAACTCATGAAATACCAAGCGGTCTTCTTCGTGTTTACTTAACAAGTGCATCGACAATCCATCTTGTGCAAGGACGTGCTTGTGTTTCTCCGTAGTCAATTCTTATGTGTTATCAGCGGCCGACACGGGAACCCGGATTGGGGGAGATGCAAGGTAGATACCTAATTCAAGTATGAAATACTTTGGAATTTCAGACCAAGTATCATGGATTATGACATGTATGTGTTCTTGTGAAATTGGTCAAGTACAGAGGAAGGAAATTAATTAAAGATGAGGATATAATATAAGATCATTCAGAACAATCATTGCTTAGTTTGTCATATTGTCCTTTCTTTTTGTTAGTCTAATTTTGGCATTCACATTGCTTGTGGTATCCCTCAAAAGTTGAACCCACTGTTGCGACTAAGCTTCGAGGTGCACCTACAAATTCAAATTCGATTAGGCGTGCGAGACTTAATAAAAGCAGCTACTTTTGTGAACATTCCTCACCCAAAGTTGGCGTACCCCGACCTCCTACTGTCACATAATATAAGAAAATCAAGCTAGACTATATAACATATATATATAGCTACCGATTATTGATTTGGGCCCTCCTTCCTGTTTTTTCGTGTCTCGAGTTTTCTTCATAAATATTTTCATCAGCTGCAGCATCTAGCTAAGATTTTTTTTTTACTTGAAATAATATAAGGGATAATGACACGAACAGTTTCTGAACTTTGGCCCAATGTATAATATGATCCGTGCACTTTTTATTTATTCAATTTAGTCCATAAATTTTAGCCTAATATTCAACGTGGTCCCTGAACTTTTAATTTATTCAATGTGATCCCTCGAATTTTGGTACATGTACAATGTAGTCCCTGAACTATATGAAAATGTTCAATGTACTTACTGAACTTAAATGAATGAAAGGACTATATCGAACATTTTCATATAATTCAAGAATTAAATTGAACATGTACAAAAAATTCTGGGACCATATTGAACAGCTTAAAGGTTTAAGGGCCATATTGCACATTGGATTAAAGTTCATGGACCACATTGAATAAATTAAAAGTTCGGGAACCATATTGCATATTGAACTGCCAAAGGTTAGAAACTGTTCGTGTCAATTTCCAATAATATAATGAAAAACACAGTAGTACGAGCAAAGATATGCATGATAATATGAAAATGTCACACATTACATTGCACTCGAAAAGACCCATTTTCAATTTCAATCAATCTTCATCCTTAAAAAAAAAACACAATAAATCCATCTTTCAAAAAGCAATGTATGGTGTTAGGTCTAAAACACCTCCTACAATCGCTGTTGGGTTATGCAAAAGCCAAAGTTATAATAATACTGCATAAAGTGACGCAATGGAGTGTCCCGCACAAGGATCAAAAGATTCCAATCAACCCGAGGGAAGAACATCTCACGTGTTTGTCATCATCCAAACGAAATATCTAATTAATGTTTCGGGATTTAAGGAGCCTTAAGGAATCTGGTTGACTAACTTAAATGAATTTGATGTTAAACGTGATTTCCCACGCATTGATTAATGTTGTCTTCGAGAGATTAAAGTGGAATATGATAATGTCCACTGAATACAATATCTTCTCTCACATAAAGTTGAGATTCTCACTGTGTTTTTTTTTTTTCAGGTAATAGTCACAAAAAACTATAAACTATGCCTAACGTAACATGTTTATCCAAAAAAAAAAAATTGTGATACAAAAAACCTCAAACTTGTGCATATGTGACACATTTACCCAAAACTGGTACAGTGTAACACATTTACTCGAACCTTCTTTTTATAACACCCAAAACCTCAAACTTCTATGTCCTAAAAATTTGGAGTAGCAGAAAAAGTTTGGGAAAGTAAATGTGTTACATGGATTTATGTTTAGGGTTTTTGGTGTCATGAAAAAAAGTTTGGAGCAAATGTGTCACACGAGTACAAGTTTGGAGTTTTTAGTGTCACGAAAAATAGTATAGAGTAAATGTGTCACGGTGGACAAAATTTTAAGTTTTTTGTCGTTTCTTTCCTTTTTTTTTTTCCTCGAATTACCTAATAAAAATTGAAGGCGGGAGTTGTCTCTACCCTAAGTACTTTCACGTGCATCTCTACTTCAACAGAGAATGGACATGTATCTCCCAATTGCACTTTTCCCTTTTGCACATCTCCAGAATTAGGGAATTAATAATGACATTACTTATAATGACTCCATACATATCCATATGTGTGTGTGTGTGTGTGTTTCTCTATATAATACATATATGCCAACCAAGACATTTATAGTGTGATGCACCCACAAACCCAGAGCCAGCTCTGACCATAACGCCTCGTTCAGCATCCTCTTCTGGGTATCCAAATTTTGTCATTGAAGGCCAGTTTTTTCTTGACTGGCATGCATTATGTTTCCCTTATAAGTCCACCCTCATCCCTTCAAAAGGACCGCCCGTCCCCTCATAGATAAAGGAAAAAATAAAAAGCATACCAATCTTTCCTCTCCAACACTCGAAAGCATGGGAGGTGAAATATGTGGAAGAATGGGAAGTGGGCTCTGTGTAGGGTTGAGGAATTCGTGGAGAAACATGGAGAGAGGCCTCAACGAAGCCGTTTCGAGGAGCCGGGTCGGCAGATACTTCAAGCTCGAAGCGAGGAAGAGTTGCTTCACGAGAGAACTCCGTGCGGGTACCGCCACTTTCCTCACCATGGCTTACATAATTTCGGTGAATGCCACCATCCTCACCGATTCGGGCGGGCGGTGCTCCGCCGCGGACTGCACCGTCCCCGGGAGCCCCGGCTGCACGCTGAAGCCCGACCCCGGCTACGAGAACTGCCTCAGCAAGACCCAAAAGGACCTGGTCGTGGCCACCATTTTGTCGTCCATGATCGGTTCGTTGGCCATGGGGTTATTGGCCAACCTCCCCCTGGGGCTTGCCCCGGGTATGGGCCCGAACGCCTACTTGGCCTACAACTTAGTGGGTTATCATGGATCCGGGCCCGTCTCATACCAGACCGCCCTTGCCGTGGTGCTCGTCGAGGGTTGCGCCTTCCTCGCCATAGCCGTTCTCGGGCTCCGGGCAAAGCTCGCGAGGCTCATACCCCATCCGGTTCGACTGGCTTGCTCGGCGGGCATCGGCCTTTTCATCGCGTTCGTCGGCTTGCAACTGCACCAGGGCCTGGGCCTCGTCGGGCCTGACCCGTCCACATTGGTGACCGTCACGGCCTGTGCAACCACAAATCCGGAGACCGGTGAGTGCATTGGAGGCAAGATGGGGAGCCCCACATTTTGGCTGGGCTCAGTTGGGTTCCTGGTAATTTCTTTGGGGCTGATTAAAAATGTCAAAGGCAGCATGATCTATGGCATTGTTCTTGTGACAGTCATCTCTTGGTTTAGAGGCACCGCCGTTACATACTTCCCACACACCGCGCTGGGTGACGAAAGATTCAATTATTTCAAGAAAGTTGTGGACTTTCATAAAATTAAGTCCACGGCAGGCGCCATAAGCTTCGCGAATTTCAACCAGACCGAAGTCTGGGTGGCTCTAATAACACTACTGTACGTCGATGTCCTCGGTATCACCGCGGCATTGTACACGATGGCCGAGCTCGGGGGCTACGTTGATGATCGGGGCGGCTTCGAGGGAGAGTACTTAGCGTACATGGTCGATGCCGGCGCCACCGTAGTGGGGTCATTGTTAGGGGTCTCGCCGATCGCAACGTTTGTGGAGTCGTCAGCGGGGATAAGGGAGGGGGGTCGGACCGGGCTGACGGCGGTGATTGTTGGGCTCTATTTCTTGGCATCACTGTTCATCACACCCCTGTTGAGCAGTGTCCCTCCATGGGCCATAGGCCCATCACTGGTCACGGTCGGGGTGTTGACGATGAAGGTGGTGAGGGACATAAATTGGGAGAATCTGAAGGAGGGAGTGCCTGCATTTGTGACCATCATTCTCATGCCCTTGACCTATTCAATAGCCAATGGGATCATTGGCGGGATTGGGGTTTACGTTGCTCTAAGCTTGTACGACATTGTGAAGGGGGTTGTTGGGGGGTTGATGAAGATGAGGAAGATGGTGGTCAAGGAGCAAAATCAAGTGTCGGCATCGGCTGGCGGGGAAGCGGAAGCGGAAGCCGCCCACGAAATGACCTGAATCTGTAAAGATGTTTCTTCGGATGGACTGTTGGATGGCTGTGGTCGTGAAAGTGAAGATGGGGATTAGATGCACGAGTTGCCATGAGAGAGAAGAGAGCAAAAAAGGAGCTAGTCATGCACACACAAAAGGCTTGGCCTCTTGACAATATCAGTGCCTTTCAAGGCAACTCTTGCATGTAGTCAATCTAGTTTTTTAGTTTTCTAATTATTGTCTCTAGCAATTTGTATTTTCAGTTTGGTTGCTTGAATAGTCCATCCGACAAAGATTCACATCTCATTTTGGATATGTCGAGTTTGATTACCCAAAAGGATTTGCAGAAGAAAGCGCTCTTTAATCTAAATTAATGAAAATAGTCGACTTTCGAAAGCAACATGATTTCAGTGAGGGAAAATTCTAAATAAGGGCCTGAAATTAGGTTACTTCCTCAAAAGAAGGTTCAAAGTGGACATTGCCTCAAATGAAGATATGAAGCGGGGCGATTTTTTCGAAGAAGCACCCAAAGGCTAATTGGCGAAGATGGTCAGCCAATGGGTTTAGACTCTTATTTGAGACTAAATTGGCTACTTTAAGCTCTTATTTGAGGCAAGATCGACTAGGTCTTCTTTTGAGAAAATGATTCCATTTCAAGTCATTAGTTGATATTCAATTGACTACTTCAGACTCTTATTATTACTCTTTTGAGAAAATAACCTCACTTTAGGCTTTTATTTGAAATTTTCGTTTTAAGTGACGAATATGCACATCAGGCCACATTCTAGGTGACATACATGTGGTGCCGCAAATTAGCAGATTTAAATCGTAAAAAGAAACGATTATGACACATTGCTTTCCGCCCTCCATTATTTTGGAAAATGGAGATCAATAGGGTTGTTTACGAGCATGAAAAGTAAGCTCTCATTTGGAAACACCGCATGCTTTTGTGAAATGATATAAAACATCCTCTTATTGTTTATAACTTAACAGTACTTATCTAGGATAAGTTCCCACGTACCAGACCACAAGTTTCTCAGCTTTTTTGTTGATGCTTCTGCATATTGACCCCACATTCTACTAAGCTAAGAGGACAAGCTTCACAACACAGATCGCATATGCTGGTAACTTGAAGAACCATGATAGACCGCAGTAAACAGTCCACAACATAAATAAAAAGCTCCTCATGTTTCCAATTATAGAGAGAGAGAGAGAGAGAGAGAGAGAGAGAGAGAGAGAGGAGAGAGAGACTATTCCTTAGCAAGAAAAGGTTCGGGTATTCCTCTGTCGTCGTTGCTCAAAGATGAAACACAACAAGAATATTGAATATTGCAGTTTTGTCATCAACACCATAGGACAACAAACTAAAGCCCAAGTGTTTGAATCGTCTGCTTGGTCAGAGCATACAGTGAGAAGTCACAGGAGGTTACCACACAATATCCTTGAACTTCAAGCAACGCAAAAGCTAATCAGATCATTTACAACAAGGTTGAGCATTCTAGTTCTTTCAGTCATGGCAGTTAGGGGTTTCAAGGCTGGGAAGAAGCCCAACTGAGAATAAGATGGTACAGTCTAGTTAGCTAGGATACCGGTCATACAATTCTTGAATTCTTGGCCTGGGGCAAGCTTGTTTGCCCTGGCGATGGAGACTTCATACAGAGACTGGGAGCTGGACATGAATTTGAGTTGAAAAACACACTCATCTCCCTGCTGGATGCCATTCGCCTTGCGAAAGCCGTCCCACCCGGACGTTAGTGATCTTAGTCCCGATCTCTCGTGGTAAAGGACTGGCCACATTCTCTTAGATGGATCCTTGAGAAGCACAACTTTGCGGTCTCTTGAAGAAGTTCCCTTAAAAAATGACGATGGCAGGTCAGCAGGCAACTCCTGCATCAACAGAAGGAAGAAAACAAGGAATCTTACTTAGGTGCACACAAGCAAGTAATACCATAAGCGCAATTGTATCTGCAAGATAAGTAAAAAACAAGAAAAATAATGACCAGGGGAGCGATGAAATTATTCTAAAAATAACACCTTATATTATTCAGTTAAAGATCTATTGGGTGATGCCAGTGAAGTAAACCCAACCCAATTTAGAAGCTGGGATGTGGGCCGTCGGATGTCCACAATGCTCCTACTACAAATAAATAATTGAGCTGAAACGAAAACTAAAATATCAAATAAAAAAAACTGTCATAAAACTAACATCTCGGAGGGGAAAAAAAAAAAAAAACAAAACTGTCTAAGCCAATTTTGAGGATCAACAGCAGTCAAATCACAAGAGAAAATAAGTAGGGATTGTATAAAATAAAAACCCACTAGATGAGAATGGCAGTCCGTCACAACTTTGACTGAATAGGAGGTATCGGCAGCCATATGTACTGAAGAAGCCATTGCATTGATAGCTTCACCCTCTCCTAGTTGTCCATCACTTGCAATTAAAGCAGTACCCCCACCATACTCTGCCTTAACAATTGGCTCTTTTCCTGCATATAGGAGCATGGATTGAGCAAGAACCATCGCATGCTATCAAATGGACCCACAGAATCAGCATCCAGTTACGAAGGTTCTCTGAAATCATACCACAGATTTCCACTTGCTCTTGTTTAATAATCCTTGGCCTTTTAACTGAAAGATAAATGAAGTTAACTTTTGCCACATCACTGCATAACAATTACCTCTCCTGAAGTAAAAGCAAATGCAAACCTTTACAATTATTATCTTCATTCATCTCCACCAGCTCTCCTTTGACAATTGGCAACACTTCATCTGTCCACCATATCAAACAACAGAAAAAGATTAAGCACCTCTAACAAGAGAACTTCTGATACATGTCATACCAATGAAAACACCAATGGTACTAAAAGCACGCAGCTGTGCAGTGAGCAAAGAGCAAACAAAAGGTACTAGTAGCTGGCTGATCAAAAGTCATGTTGATTAACTTCACAATAACAAGTCCAGCCTTTAGCAAAGTACCTGAGTAATATGCCACCATATTGGGTGGTGGTTGCCAACAGCCCAGTACAACCTACGACCCAGCCTAACTTATGAAGAGTGTCAAATAATCATCTTCTAATCTTGTTTTAATAGATTCAAGTTACAGAAACAATTACATGCTGATCTTAGAGAGTGTTTAACATTAACAGCTCAGAAGTAGATCAGATAAAGTCACGAAGCATCATTGTCAGTAACCATGCCCATAGCAGCTTTCTTAGCATAACTCTCTTTTCAAGGGAAAGAAAAGGTCCATTAAAGGACAGTTATCATCTCTGTACTCCAATTGATAATAAATACGTATACACACACGCATGATCCGTATATACATAGAGGCTCAGAGTTCTTACTCGTGCAGTTATTCAAGAGAGTCTCTTGTTTATCTATCCCTTCTGAGTTTCCACTTTTCTCAAGTTTCCTGATGTGTTGATTTGTTTCCTCACATGTCCAATTGTTGACAGAATCCAAAATTGGGTCTTTATCAGCTAATCCAGCTTCATCGTGACATAATTGTGATATAACGGCTCCAGCAGAAGAAGGTCCAATCCCATCCATGATACAGGGATTTCCACCAGCACAGGGTTTGTTGTTTTTCATTTCGAAACCAAACAAGTCAAATGCAGGTCGCGCCTCTTCTCCCTCTCTGTTCTCAATGTCTCTATTCATCATATAGCTCAATTCTTCAGCATAGACCGTGTTGGATAGAGGTTGACTTTTTCGACAACTCTTTAGACGCACCGATGCCACCTGTTTCACTGCTTCTTCCACATTTGTTCTGCAATGGCTTTGATCTAGCTCAGCTGATGCCCCAGACACAACTGAAGCACTCTCACTTGAACTCTTGTCACTGGTGGGGTCATCCAGAGAATTTCTAATACTCCTAGTTCTTTTCTTACTGGTCCTATTTTCTGGAAAATCTAGTTTTCTGCATCCAGTCCGATCATATATGTCGACTCTGAAGTGGGAACCCAGGTAATAGAACAACAGAAAATATCCAACTTCTAAACCATGGTCGCACGAAAAAGCATTCCAACCTCTCTGGAATGCCAAAGATCCATCAACCATGGACAATGTCACTTCCCATTGCCTCCCACCTGAATCCTCCAGACAGATACTTTGATTAAGTAGTCCTGAAACCGTGGGAGCAAATTTTGGAGGAATGTACTGCAATTGAAAGAAACATCTATTGTAAGACAAAGCTCATTCTCACAACAAAATCGGCGGGAGCAACAAACTATGATTGTGCCTATCCAGATCAAATTTCGGGAGAAAGTTGACTGCGCAAGCATCACAGTACTGAAATATAGCACTTCAAGTTACCACAACTAAAACCATCCGAGCACTTGATAGGCAATAATCTGGAACAAAAACACCGTGACTCATTCAGGTCATGTAGATATGGAAAAATAAAAATTGTATACGGTCAGCTACCTGAAGCATATGCCTATTTCTCCATCAAGGCTCCAGACCAGCTGAGTACCACACATGTTGGGTTACATAACCGGATGGTTAAAGGTTGACAAATTAATCAGTAGATATATTCCTCGAGAAATTTTTACTTTCTATTGAATGACATGATATCTTATGCCACTTCTTATTGTTTCCTTTTGCATATTTTTAGATCAATCTCATTTTTCTTCTCTATCAAAAAAAAAAAAAAAACCCAAGGAAAAACTCCACAAATGGCTCGGCATTTCTTTCACAATCTAACCAAACAAATGCACTCCTTTCTAACTGGCAATTATTTGATGCAGAAGCAAAGAATCTCAAGAAACAATTTACTGTTTCACTGGTCAGCATATGTCGAATTAAACTTTTTATTTCTCTCAGTTGCTTTGCATCTTTAATATATAACAGAAGTTTTGTTAGTAACTGGTTAACACCACTAGGTAGAATTCTCATATATAATATGACTCTGTGTTAGACCTTTAGGGCTGTGCTCAAATTCATTTTCATATTCGAATAAAGTTTCTATTCATGAAACTTGTTTCTTTTAACTGAAAGTTTTTGAAGTCCAGAAAAGAGTCTGTTAAAACAGGGATTTTCTGTTGATATGTTCACTTTGCTTCTTCAACCCTTTCTTATTAACCAAGTCACTCATTAGAGATAGCCCAGACTAATTCACAGGGTGGAGCTGCCAATAATAATAGTCCAGACTAGTTACACAATAGCTAGAACCTGGATTAGGGCATGGCAGAAGTGAATTTTGGTAGGCTGACTAATTATTGTGCTAACTCCTTAATGAGAAACCAATATCGATGCTGTTTTTTGATTACTAGTGTATATCCTTACTCATGACCCAACAAAAAATAATTAGGTCCTCACACCTCCTATACAATTGCATGACATCTAAAAAAACGCTAAACAAGAGGACAGATGCAACTATTGCATGCAAAATCAAGCAGTGTAAGTTCTCAAAATTTACAAACAGCACAAGGCACGTGACCTTAAAAGATTTGGTTTTCAAGGATAACCAATATCTTTTCAACAGGTATAAGTCAACATGCAGAAGGATGAAAGAGAGAAGAAATTAGCTTGTACTGACCAGTGGTAAAGAAAGTATAAGTTGGGAAAAATTATAACAGTGTCATAAATAGAAGAGGGTGGCAACATACCAATAGCTCAGAAAATTGACTGCCAATCATGACCTTGAAAAAGGAGCTAACATTAGGTGATGCGTTTTTATTCTTTCCATGAAGAATTACACAATTCCTTGAGCATTCTGCACAAGCTTCCATCTTGCAGCCTATTGATAATCTGATCTGTTGGACACCTATGCACCAAAAGGCATTTCCTTTAACATGATAAAGCATTTGCAGGGAGAAGCACAAATACAATTCTCAAAGAGCAGAAGTTCCTAATTCTCTTATGATGTTTTTTTCTCACAACTGCATAATCGACAGTTTCCAGTTTGAAAATCAGCTTCCGAATAGGAGGAATAAGAAGATGCTGAATTTTAAAAGGCTCACCCAATGAGTGAGACAACACACATGCGACTCCCCATAAGATAAGACCGACATTACCTGTTGTATGTCCTAAGCATCAACCTTGATTTCTTGCATTGTATGTAACCGCAGCTGATCATGCTCTAGAATAAATAAATAAGAACAGCCACTCCAAAAGAATTCGCACAGAAATGCCGCTGCGAGAACAAATTTGGCGGCAAATTACACATTTTGAAGTGTAGATATGTGTATATTCTCTATGCTTCCATTTTCATCCTTCTAACGGTCCAAGGCTCCTACATATATCAGAGACTATTAAATGGATGCAAAGCTACTTCAACATACATTCGGCCTCCTCAAAGGGTGAAAGAAATGAATAAACTAAAATTTGCAGAGACGGTCATTGGAACTGTCTCTATCAAACCGAGCCAGAATTTCCTGATATACTCCGTTAACTTTTGATTATATTAGCGAGAATTTTCTATGTCAAATGCTCTTAAAATACCCAACTCTGAATTCAGCGAACGAAAGGTCTACACAGCCCCGCCATGTTTAAAAAAGACGGTTCCTTTTCGTAAGTCCCAAGGCCACAAATTTAGCAAAAATCAAGACCGAAAGAAAGAGCGCGAAAAGAGAGAACTTTACAGCGCGAAGATCATCTCCGAGAACTCGAAAACAGACCCGTCTGTCCTAGGGTTAAAATCCACCAACAACTCAAGCCCTAATCTCACAAAGACCGCCGTGATCACACCCCCACTCCTTGACGCTGCCGTGTGTGTTCAAGGACACGAGCAAGCGTACGCATTACACCCACAATGCGGCTCAAAACATCCACCCGAATTCGTCGCCCCAGTGACCAAAGAGGAAAGAGACAGTTGCCGATACCAATGCAAGAAAGCATGCAGAGACAGCATCATTACAGAAGGGGGGAAGAAGAGGAACAAAAAAAATAAAAAAACAGAACCCACGAGTTGTTGGCGAGGAAGGAAGCGAAGGGACGGGAACACCGCTCGAGTTGGTCTTGCTCGGTTGTAACTTCTGCTGCGAGGGACGAACGAGGACAAGCTTGGAGACGCGAGAGGCGCGACGCTAAGCCATGACCAGTGAGCGAAAGCAGTGATGGGTCTCCGTGGTTTTGACGAAGAAGAAGCTGGAAAGGTTCTCTTTTTATACAAGTCCTCTCTTTGAAAGAGAGGGAGAGAGAGGGGTGGGGGAAGAGGGGAATCTCGGGGACCGTGGAGGTGCGATTAATGTGGGTAATTAAGATTGTCGTGGCATTGCGATTTCTGTGCATAATTAGTACTAGTAATTAAGGCTCCGTTTTCCTTTTTGAGAATGAGTCACAAAAAAATAATCCCAAATTATACCCGCACATTTATCCTAGAATTTTTGTTGAACATCAGAAATCTCAAATGATGAACACACCATGACACATTTATCATAAACTTTGATAATATTTTAAATAAGGATACAAAATGCCATCATTTTCTCGAATAATTGTCTCGCACCCTCACCCCAAGCGACCATGTGGCATACGAGAGCGGTCTCACCTTGGCCCAGGCGAGGGTCGCGACTCTCCCAAGCGAGGCCATCCCTCACCGGCCGCTGGCGAGGCGACCCTCGCCCAGATCAGGCGAGGGTGGAGCTCCCCTGTGGCTGGCAAGGGCGACCCTCGCCCGGCCCTCTCTGGGCATCACTAGTGGCTAGCAACCGGCGAAGAAGAAAGAAAAATCAAAAAAAGGAAAAAATAATAATAAATATTTTAAATTGAAATTGTTTTTGAACGAAAATATTCTTGATCGATTAGAATATTTAGCCGGCCGGAAACCGACGAGATCAAGCCCATATTTGAATCTATCATGGCCACTTCAGGCCTTTATTTGAGACTGACATTATTTGACACAAGATCCACTTTAGGTCCTTATTTGAGAAAATTGAGGCATTTAAGGCTCTTATTTGGAATTTTCTCCTAAACTTTTTGTTGTGACATAAAAAATCATAAACTTGTATCTATATAACACATTTACCCTTAGTCATCTGATTTTTCAACCAAAAGAATGTAGTCATTTTTTCAGCAAGGTAAAAATCCCAAACTTGAGCCCTTGGACTTTGTCATTTCTATACTCCGGCCCATGCCATCGGGTTTTTCTTCCGCATGTATTTCCATTTTCTTATTTGGAGGAGACTGTTGAAAAAATCTTCTAATATAGTCAGATAGATCGATGAAAATTCAACAAGCAACCCTTGTCACAAATTTCTCGCACGCATTAACTTTCACCACGCGATAAAAATCGATTCGATAAGAATTTTTTTCCTCGGAACCCATCATATTATTACGAGAATTATGTCATTTTTTCAGCAAGGTAAAAAGGACCGAACGCGAAATATGAACAATTATAATCCAGATTCACGGGGACCAAAAACATCTCCCAACTCCTTACCAAAAAAAAAAAAAAAACATCTCCCAACTTAAAAAACAGCCACCAGCTGTCTCGAACAACCTACTAACAACAAACGTTAAAGACCGGACTTAAAACAAATCTTAATTCGTATCATCATCGATCGCCCCCACTAATAATCAGCGTTGGCCACGTCCCTGTCTGTCCCTCCCTCTCTCTCTCTCTCTCTAATTTCCATTGTTCCTGAGATTTTCTCTCCATTAGAACCATCTCATCTCTGAAAGGACATCCGATCCTCGGTGCCATTCCCTTCGCCCTGCATGGCTGCGGTAATTTGATCTCACGTTGCTCCTTTTCATTCGTTCACGTTGTTGCATATTAGAATCGCGTGCGGTGCATGCATGGATGGTTGTGTGTATTGATCTGCGCATGAACACAATGCCTGTGCGTGTGTATGCCAACCTTTTCGCAATCGGTTCCAGGTCGGCGATCGGAAACCGTGGTCAAGAACTCTCCCGCATCGCCCTTGCATTGTGACGTTTTACGATATTTTGATGGGCGGGAAACTGGAAGTAGCGTTTGCCCTTCGCGGTCGATGAAGCATGATTTTGGTTTTGGTTGTACACTGGTTCATGTTGCATCGTGGAAGGAACAATGGCTGCGAAAAAGATCCGTTTTACATGGTCTTGAGTATCTGCTCTTTGGCTTTTGTATGGGTCGACGTCGAAGAATTTCAGACGGTCGATTTTGTGGTTGGTTGTTTAAATTAAAACTCGAGATGTTGAATCGAGTAAAAGAGTCGCTGCGAGTTGAACATGTTGGTTGCGCTCTGATTCTGGCGTGCTCGTGAATAAGCTCATCAATGAATCATATATCAGAGAGATTGTACGAGAATTATGGTTCTAATGTTCTAGTGTTGGGTAATGAGCGAGCATATTACTATATACGCTCTTACCTTATGAGAGATTTTTCTTTTAAGACAAGATAGGAGGAGCAAGACAGTGCTTTTGAACAATTTATCTAACAAAGAGATTGTTTTTGTTCTTCATTTTTGTGTATGTTATGGATTCGTGGAACGGGATTTCGACTTTCTATGACTGACATACACGGTGCTTTGTGTATTCCGTATTTCGATTCAGCAGGCAGGTCGGCCACTGCCCAAGTTCGGGGAGTGGGATGTGAACAACCCGGCGTCCGCCGAGGGATTCACCGTCATCTTCAACAAGGCGAGAGACGAGAAAAAGACCAGCGGAACTGCAGCGAACATGGTGTCCCCTCGAAGGAACGTGTCCCCTCAAAGAAACAACTCGACTTACAACAAGAACGAGAAGAGGCAGCAGAGTTCTAAGGTAGAGCTGACACCAGTGGCTGTTGAATCTTTGATTGCAAAATTCTCATTCTGTGATGCTAAGAACTGTTAAATGGTTTCAACGCGCAGAGAAAATGGCTCTGCTGCGGCTGACTTCGACTGCTGCTCTTGAGGCTCAAAATATGCAACTGGCATTAACATCGTGACACAGAACTACATACTCTTGTCCCAGAGGCAACGAATGGCTGTAACCCTGGTGCTTACCTTTACCTTTTCAAATAAAGAGATTATGTTGTAATTTGCTTATCATCGGCTTCGTCGCATTCTTGATGCATATGAATCCTGTCGCAAGATCTACATACAATTAAATACATAAGCTCTTCTTCAAGTTCATGATGCGGATTCCAGTTCCACATTTGCTTGTTGAACATATTAGACAAGCGAAGAGGAAGGAACCAGCATTTTTCTGTACGAGAAAACTTCAATCGCCCCTTCTGAAACTTTTACATTTCATAGGTCAATTTTGACCTAAAAACCCTAAACACAAACCAAAAGCTAAGGAAAGCAAACTCCACCTTTACTTTTCACTACTTTTTGAATAGCTTCAACGCCAAGCATCTGATTACAATAACTGCCAGAAACTGGAAGTAGAATTACAACACCACATTTTCAGACATGTTACTTGTTCAATCAAACTGCTCGTCAACATGAGATTTAGAAGGAAAGAAAATACCCAGTGGCTGGCGATACACGGAAGGACCACACAAAAGTTCATATTTTGTAAATCCTACATGGGCAAGCACACCAAAAATCACCAACCAAATTTCATAGCAAAATTTCTTTTCTATAACTTATGTGATTGCTAAGCATACAGTGTGCTTATTCCAATCTACCCATCCTCACCTCCATCTAGATTGATGAGATTAGATATGAATCAGGTCAATACAACATTTCAGAGATGTGGTACAGGTCAGAGATCTCTCTTCACTGAAGATGTGAACAAAAAAAATCATATTAATCGGTATACAATCTTGCAGTTAAAAATTTAATAAATCCTACATCTCCCTCCTTTTCTCTTGTCCAGGACTGGAAATAAATGAAGCAGAATGATGTCAATTCAGCTATGATTATCTAAAAATTTCTCAATGAGAACAGAAAATGCTGCAAAGCCAGCACAACCAGCGCATGCCGCTTTAGGACCGCCTACAAAATAAAAAGAGAAGAAGAAGTAAGATGTCTGCACAGCGAAAGAGGCAGAGGTGATGACAACCCTGCTAAGAAAACAATGTCAGTCACCCACTCCGAAAAATTGCTAGGCCAGTCTTTCCCATTAAGTGACAATGTAACAAGATCCAAAAATAAAAAGAGGTAGGGGAAATATGATATAAAGATGCTGCAGTTAACTCAACTTCCTACTTTTCTAGAAAAATTTAGTAAAAGGTGTTAAGAAGTAAACAAGGAGTTTCAGCACTCATCTCTAGGTACGAAAAAGAACACTACTGAATAAGGATTCCCGTTTTAAGTTCACTTCATGAAATAAAGGAGAACAATGACAACAAAAACAGCTACCTCTTGCTGACAAAGTACCGCCAGTAACACAGCCAGCAACAACTGTATTTGTGGTGTCATGCTTTGCCCTTGCCTATAATAAATAACTGAACACATTAGCAGGAGGACAAAAGCTATAGAACAACAGTACAGTCACTGAACATATACATTCACCATCATTTTGTGAGATCAAAGATACCTTCTCTACAACACACTCAGCAGCTGAAAAAACTAAGCCCATGACTGCAAATGTTTTCGCTGAGTGCCAACTTCTTTGTCCCATCTGCTTTGCAGTGTAAATGAACTGTTGCTTTCCAGTCATTTGGTCCTGCATTATAGGATTGTCCAGTGCTCCTAGAAGCAGGCCCATAAAGATCCCAAGGCCACCTCCTGCAGCAATTTCAATGAAACATATTGACAAACAGCAAAATCTGGCATCTTAGCATCATTTTACCCTCGGCACACGAGGTCTGACGCACTAAATGGAAAAAAAAGCAGCAAAAGAGTTGAGAACTCTTACCCATGACTCCACTGACAACACTGCGAACAGCACAATTGTTCCAAATATCTTGACCACGAATCTCCTCAGGTGTAGGCAACCTTAATGGCTGAATTTGAGGCTTCTCTGCTTCTTTCAAGCCCGAAGAATCGTCAACGGTTGTTTCAGACGCTGAATTGCCGGCCATTGACGGTGACTTAAATCTGAAATCAAAACGACGTCAACACGTGTGCACTTAAGCAATGCTCGGGACAGTGGAAAGGAAGAGGAAGGAAGAGTTATCTTTCTTTAGAAGATACTTTTCCTGGGACCCATGAGATCAACTGATCCAAAAATGGACAGATCTCCCTCCCTCCCCATTGTCCTTACCAGAAATTGAAGGAAGTAACCACAGTTTGCACCTTTCGAAAAACTAACTGCATAATGCTTAATGTACTTTAACATTTTGATATTCACGCCTTTTTCATCCTCTCTGCTTTCATCTCGTCCAAACAAGCATTAGGAAGTAGGACTTTCTTTGCTTCCACGCTTACATTCCCAGTTTGTTCTCTCTAATTTCCTCCTCTTTATAAAAGTTTCCCAAACAAGCCATCAAAATCATGGAAAGCCAAACATGTGCACCATCTACACGACACGATCCTAGCTATCTGTATTCTGCGCCAGGCTGTCACATATTTACGACGTCTTGTTCCGGTTCTTGAGATCTAGCAACTCATACGAGCTAACCTAATATCAAGATGCTTGGAAATCTATGGGCGCTCTAGAGCTTTGAACAGACGCAGAAAGGCACACTGTACGTCTCCCTGAATCAGACAACCTTAAGAACTTGAATTCAGCAACGTTTATTGCCGCTCCTGATGCGAAGTGGGTTGACTTGGGAATTTTATCAAACACTTGGCGCACTACATAAGGCTAAAGACAGGTTACATCACCCCACAAGCCGAAACAACATTAGGAACTAGAACTGACGATCGCACGGAGAAAGAGAGAGAGATAGTCAGATGGAGACCTCCCGAGCGTCGTCCGTGCTCGCCGGCAGCTGAACGGAGATGTCGCCGGTGAAAGCGGGAATGCGCTTCCGAATAGGAGAGAGAGAGAGAGAGAGAGAGGAGAGAGAGAGACGGAGAGGGCAGGGAATTGTTAGAAGACCCCGCAATATAACCAGGAAACGCCGACCGGACGCCGACCGGAGCGAACCGGTTCCTTGGGACCGGCCCAATCATGACGTCACCACGATGTCCTAATACCATTTCTGCGGTCCGTTCAAGTCGAATTATCAAAAAGTCTCGGTCACTTGAAATTATTGAAATCTTTTTCAAAACCTTATACTAAATGAGTTCTTCTTTTTGTGCGCGAAATTTTGCTTTAATTATTTTTATGTTATGATTTGACGAATCACTTCGACAGATGTGACACGGTATCATGACCGGAGCGTGTTTGTAAATGGAATAATGACACAAACAGTCCCCAAACTTTGGCTCAATGTGCAATTTGGTCCTTGAACTTTTAATTTGTTCAATGTAGTCCTTAAACTTTAGCCTAACCTCTGAACTTTTAATTTATTTAATGTGATTCCTGGACTTTTGGTACATATTCAATGTAGTCCCTAAACTCGAATTAATAAAATGACTACATTGAACATTTTCATATAATTCAAAAACTAAATTGAACATATGTTAAAAATTCAAGAATGATATTGAACAAATTAAAAATTCAAAGATCACATTGCACATTCGATTAAAGTTCATGGACTATATTGAACAAATTAAAAGTTCGGAGACCACATTGCACATTGGATCAACGTTCAAGAACTATTTGCGTGATTTTCCCTCTGTAAATCGAATTTCGAGAGAATAAATTTAGAAGTCAAATGGCGTCAATTTGATCCTTTCAAATAAAAATAAAAACTGAAAATGAAATATTAGTCGATGCATTTCGACCTAAAATAAGATTGTCCATCAATATGAGTGAGGGACTGGCTTAAAAGAATCGACTAGCTGACTTCTTTGCATCCCTGTGAGAGTACATGATGTATTGAGGAATGGTTGATCTGCACAGAGCCTACCTAATAAAAAGAGTCAATTTGCCCTCTCAACATCATCCAACCAAATTTAACAGATGACTTCAGCTATAGATGCAAATCAGAGTAACAAAATCAGTAATATGAAGATAAACTACATCTGGGAATCACATATGATCAAACATCGTATCAGACCCCGTCCGTTTACCGGTCAGCCATCGTGACTAGCTGCGAACAGGTTGCTGACAAACAAGAACCGATGAAAAAAACAACGAGGCCAATGAGAGAAATCAGCGAAATGCATGTCGGGGTCAGCATTGATTTACAGTTGAGAACAATTGGTTTTGGTGTTCCAAGAAAATGAAGAATGCTCTCTGCTTCTAGCAAATAAATAACCAAATGGAGACCCAGATCAGAACGGAATAAACAGCCAAGTCAAATGAAGAGTTGCAGGGAAGAACCCCATTTCTATCTATCAGATGCTACCCCCTAAACCCAAACTAAAGCCCCATTAGCAATCCTTAATCGTGATGATTCTTTTGTACACCTAAATTAACCCTTGCCCTTCACCGAGTGACCAGTCTTTCTCTTGTGACGACTAAAGTCAGAAACAAAACGGAACGTCTGGCCACAGCCGGGCTCAGCGCAGATATAGGGGCGGGCACCTGTGTGAACCCTTATGTGCTCTGTCCTAGCCCAGGCCCACTTGAATGTCATCTTGCAGCCCTTCCAAGGGCACTTAAGAGGCCGGTCATCGAGATGGACTCGGCGGTGCTGCACCAGATACTTGTGCGAGAAGAACTTCTTCCCGCACCCTTTGACTGGACAGACATTCTTTTTGTGCAAGGTTAGCTCCTGTTTAGAGCCAAAACTCATGGTGCAACCCTCAAGATCACATTTGTATTCTGCTTCCTCAAACTTCTCCATTCTAGCTTCGTTTCGTCCCGCAGGCCGCTTCACAGTAGGCCCGGTTTTCACATTTTTCTTACCATTATTTGCTTGCTTCTTCCCTTGTGGCTTATCAGCTTTGCTTTCCTTCGTGGGCTTTGCAGTTCTCTTCCTCAAGCGTGTGCTAGGACCGCCTCCCTCTTGGTCCTCTTCATCTGATACATCCAATCGCTCAACACTGCACTCATATTTGTTACTCCGAAGGCGAGAACTTTCCTGCTTCAGATGCCGAGCACCAACTTCTTTTGTTACCCTAGGAATTCCTGGCTTCTTCAGTTTCTCCAACAGGTTCCCTTGATTTTTAATCCGAAGAGTATCTCTATTCACCTTTCGGTTTCTAAGACTCCTCTGCCGCTGAGGAAATGCATCTTCAGGTGAACTGTCTGAATCTGCGCCTTCAAATTTGGCATTAGCTGGAGTTTTCTTACGGATCCTCGGATGCTGCAGCTTGTTATAATTCCCCTCCGAATCATCTGACATGACATCATCCCTCTCATAATGTTTGGTCTTCTTTCCAGTAAGAATCCTCCCCTGCTGCTGAGAGTCCTCCTCCAGCGAATCATCTGAAAGCATGTCGCCACTTGATGTGAAATTGGTCGCCTTGCTTCTAAAATTCTTTTTACGCAACTCTTTAAACTTGTCCTCCAGAGAATCATCTGAGCTGGCGTATCCTCTCTTTGCAAACTTTTTTTGCTTCCTTCTGGGAATTGTTTGACGCCGCAAACAAGAACTCTCATCGACTTGATCATCTGAAACTGTGTCCTCTCTCCTAAAGCTTTTGGATGATTTGTGTTTAAGAACACTCGTGAGCTTCTCAGAATCTTTGGCTAAGGCATCATCTGAAACTTCTTCCTTTCTATAAACACTCTTTTTCTTGGATGGCCCACTCTCTCTGGCCATTTTTCTCTTCCTAGAAAATTTTCTAGTTGCCAAGTTGGTTTCTGTATTCAACCCAGATTGCCTCTCAGGCTTCTCATCAGGTGTCATCATAGCATGGAGGCTTCTCTCTTCTTCTACTTCTTCAGAATCCTTCGGTGCCAGAAAGGGATGGACCTGATTTGACATCCACACTCTACCACACCATTTACCTGCAACACTTTTCTTCTGCTTGCTAGGCCTCCGACCGAAATCATCAAGCTTTGCAGGTGAGCTGGAAGATTCACGACCAAATGCATTGTATATCACAGAATTGTAAGGCATTTGCTTGCTATAAAGAGGAGACCAGCTGAGATTCGCACTGTAGAAGAGATTGATGCCGAGTTTTACTGCCCAGTCCCCATATCCAGCTATTGCTTCCTCACTATCTAAAGCTGATTGAATTCTTTCCCTATCCTCTCTCGTAGCATCAGTGAATGCTATGTCATTCCATGAATGATCTATTCCCAATTCTTCAGCCAGCAACTTTGCTTCAGCTTCAACCCTTGGATAGTCTGCAGTTATATAAGCAGAAGTTGCAAACAAATAAAATTAAAGACACGCCACAATGTCATAAATTTTGAGACACACACAGCCACCATTATCTTCGATAGTACAGAAGAAAGGAACATCCTATTGAGTTTAACTCATAGTGATCATATATCAAAGAGTGACTCTAGTTATAAAATGATTGAACAACTGGGAGCAAGGGAGCAAACTTACTGTAATTAGCTGACATTCATAAAAAGTATCTTAACAGATTACCTTCAATGCATTCTCTTTAGCAAAAAGATGGATATTCCTTGCTCATTGTCAAGATGCACTCATTGTTGCCTCAATCATTGAGCTAGAGCTCAAATGCAAATAGAGTAACCGCAAAGCAAAATTTGATGATAAAGCAGCTCAGATGACAATACAAACCAACCAGTCAGGTCCGAAGAAAAGTAGAAAGCCTAAGTTAAAAAAAACCTTATGGGTAAATCATCTTGGCCAGCAAAAGATAGGTGTGCCTGTGCCATTGGGCATGTAACACTACCCTGCAGAACCCTCTGCCCTGGAAGAATGGGAGGTTCTAGAGTTTATTTATCCGGTTTGAAGATATGATTTGCTTCTGTGAAAGAGGTGACTTTAGCTATGGAAGCAGGTTCTCATAGGCTAACATAGCCTAAGCATGTAGACATGCATGACACAAATGATTGCCTACTATCAAGTTTAAATTGACTAATACTCTCCTTCGTTCCCCAAGTAACTATAGCAAAGTGTCAACATAATGTCACATTTCACCATTCATTTGCGGATGTAAAAGAACTTCTGGCAAATGAAATGCTAAACTGCTTTAACAAAAACCAATAGCAAATGTTTACCGGGATGACACACAAGATATATATGAACTCCTCCTATAGGTCGAAGTCGCTGATCAACTTCAATGGCGTGCTCGAGGCAGAATATATGCAATCTAGAGGAGTCTTCATCAGATTTAGGAAAACCTGTGTTTCCATGTTTTTCACTTGATCTGGTTTCATCAGCTCCGAAGTTAGCAGAGCACTTAAAGGTCTGATTACTATTATCCACGAAGTTAGCTCCTCTATATCCAATTTCGGGACAGCAATTGCGAGGAGAACCGCCATTTGGACCACTGTGGTGTTCTGGCAAGATAGGAGGCAATCCTGAATCAGGAAGATGATTATTACCATACTGAGGTCTTGAAGTCATCTCAATAGGAGCATCCAAATCAATCTGATCTTCTTCAGAATCAGATGAATTTCCATAATTTAAAGCTAATAAACTAAGGGCAGAAGTCCCTTTTAGTTTATCAGAATTTGAAAAAGCTTCAGAGCTTTGATGGGCTTCTTGGAGTTGATAATTAGTCGATTGAACTGAGACATCATAGAGAGCAGCAGCACGACTTTTCTCAACAGATCCTGCAGTATTATGACAGTTAGTGAAGAACTTCAATACCTATCCAATGAACACAGAGAATCCATAGCATAAAGAAGCACAGACTGTATGCACTATAGAGAATGGATGCACGAGAGATATAATTGGACTTTGGCTCAGGATGTTCAATAGGCCTTGGAAGTTACTATAAGCCATCCTTGTATACAATATTTTGAATAAATTAAATTTGATTTGACCATACAGACAAGAAGTGAATGGTTTCAATAGCAAAATAAAGTCCAACCGATGATAGCAAATGTGCCAGGGATCAACATAATAACAAAACATAGCTCAAATATCCTACAAGTACCCATAAGACAAGTCCAAAAATGCATTAAGCAAATTACC